TGTTTCGTCCAGGGCAAAGTGCATGCGGCAAAGTGCGTGCGGCAAAGTGCGTGCGGCAAAGTGCGTGCGGCAAAGTGCGTGCGGCAAAGTGCGTGCGAAGCGAGAGAGCTCCGAAGGCGGGGTCGACCGCACCCTTCTTCGCTGCTCCGTCTCGAGCGCGCCTCTCCTCTCGCCGCCGAATGCCCTTTCGCGCGCTCGCGTGGCGAGGCCCTCGCGAGAACTTTCTTCTGGCGCTTTTCGGCGGCGCTTGGCGCGTGGCACGTGGCGGGGGCACGAGAGGCGCCCGCGAGAGGCCAGCACCCTCCCGGCGCCCCCTGCTCTCGACGCGACGTGGCACAGTTTAAGAGGCGAACGAGGAGATGGACCTGGGCGCGCAAGGAGGAATGTTTTTCGCGAATTTTTGCCGTCTAAAAATGTGTTTGTAAACGAGTTGGAACGGAATTTGCGATAACGTATTTGAATTGAAGTTGCCTGGTGAGGTTTTGTTGAGATCGTGAAACATTGGGGAGATATATTGGATGGGAAGTGTCAGAGGATTTAGAAGCTATTCAGGAAAACAGTCGTACTTTAAATCACTCGGAACTAGACAATTTCGCATTCTGAAACTTTAAGAAATAACGGAGTCTCCGGGCAGGAGACAGTACTCTAGCAGCAGCATCCGCGGAAGCTTATTGATCCAGTGGGACCTCACAGATCGGCGAATACTTTCGAATGTAATTTGTTTAAAGTGAGATGAGATGTAGAAGTTGTGGGTTTTCACTGAACACTCACTTTTCCCGAGGGCTCGAGCCGAGGGCCATCCGGAACGCCCTTATTCACATACAGGTAATCGATGATTAATAGTAATAAACCTTAATAATGACTCGAAGAAAGACTCGTTGATTCATGGCCACAATAATTTGATAACTGCTATTACAAGGTCTTCTAACTCAAATTCATAACGGAGTGTGGCATACATTTTATGTTTGTCTCAGAATGAAGAAAAGAGACGTCATCAATTGCTTTTTTTAGCAACAAGTTCTTTAGTCATCTTCAGAGCAATGTGTCAGTCTGATCCGCACATGTCGCCTGCCTCACAAGGCGCAGAAACCTCATCAGGACGAAAGGTTTTATAATAAAGCAATTAATAACCAGATTTTATACATTTACATCATTACCACTCCAATTCGCAAAACTCGACCGTTTGTTCCTGCGCCCCCCCTCTTCCTCCACTACTTCTACTTCTTTTCCTCCGTTTTCACTCCTCGCCGTTCTGCATATTACCTTTACCCGCAGCAGTCAGCCCCTCGCGTTAATTTGAATGAAAACGCCGTTTGGCTCGCATGTTCGGCGTAAGCAAGAGAGATTACTGCTTGCTGCCGTCGTAAACAGCACTCAGCGTCGGCGAGCTGCGTGGTTCGCCTCAAGGTCTTCCAGACGCGCGTCGGCGCAGTCTTGGCTGATCGCTCCCGCTTATAAGAAAGCGAGTTGATTACATTTTGGGGTAGGTTGCAGAGAAATCTTTGTAGATAATGAGAGCATTCTCAAGATATTTTCTCTTTTCACTGCTGCCGTAACTACCATCTATTTGTTATACTGGAATGGAGTGGATATTACACTTGGAATTCGTTCAAGTGATGTTCGATATGAACGTAATTTGCAGAAAATATATTTTTCTTAGGTTTTTTCAGCCACGTTTTATTACATAGTGGCATATCACTGAACAATTATTAAAACTTGTGATGCTACAGAATGGCACAGACTTTCTCGTACTAGTACATAATTTCTTTTAGTCTGGGCTACCTTTTCAATTCTGCCCCACTATCTTTCCAGGTGCTACCTATAGGCAAGACACTTATTCACATTTCTCAAATTTTTGATCGCTGTAATGTAATTGTAAAAGATGGCTGAATTTGATCTAGCTACCTTAGTGTCGAGAATCCTGCCACCGTCCGGACTGGAACCCTAGGACCTCCCGCTCACAGGCACCGCAATGACATCACTTCATGCCCTGAGCCACCTCAGCCGGTGGTATCCTGACGTAGACAAAGACATCCGATTAAGTGTAAACTCGAAATATCTGGCGGCGCTCTCACCCGCCGGGAAACCGGGCCTCGACGCCTTGACCCACATTGCGGCTGCTGTGCAGACAGTCCGGAGACGACCGCCACTGGCGGTGGCGGCGGCGGCAGAGGCGTGTCGCCCACCACTAGCCCCTGCGAAAGCCCAAACCGAACCATCTTCGCACCGCCAGGCTGCGTTTTCTCCCCACGCTGCTCACATTGCCTTCCAAAAATGACTTTCCCAGTCTTTTATCATTTTACAAGTATTAGTGTTGGTCTTCTTCACTTCAAGGAGTAGGCTCTCAAGGCTAATATTCTTCCTGTCTTCTTCTTTCTTCATTATTATTATTATTATTATTATTATTATTATTATTATTATTATTATATCTTAGCTCTTCCGATACGTCACATCTTCCAATGCGTCGCACCTTCTCCCCCATACGTCACATACAGGTTTTACTGTTTTTTGGCTAAATAACTCTAAATCTCTTTTGCCAATGGATCGATAGAGCATTGCCATTGTATAGGCGTCGATTATTCGTATGTGTTGTCTCGATTCTACAAGTGCTCATCTCTAGCGAAGCAAAGTCTCTTGGTGATTAGAAAAACTATATTGAAGATACCTTGCCTCGCTAGAGATGAGGACTTGTAGAATCGTCAGCTCTACACGATCTTAAGTAATCAGCTTGTAACATACATGGCTTAGTTAGTATTTTGTTTAATATAACAGCCTTAGAGCTAGAGTTGCCCATTTTAATGGTGAACTATCACAAAAATATATGTTTAAAAATGTACATACAGATTTAAAAAATATGTATTTGTATCAAATATAATACACATAATATATTCAAAAATATTGCAAGACTTTTAAAATACTTACAAATATTATTTCTCAAATCAATTCATCCAAATACAGTATAAGACATGAATTAAAAAAATCCTCCAAATTGAGTATAAATCGTGAAAAAAATATCATTAAAATCGTAGCGTTTTGAAAAATTTAATTTTGCGGTCAAGAATGTCGCTGATCCATTCTTCGCGAAATTTGGTTTCACCGGGTCTGTGGATGTATGGATCCGTCTCAAATTGGTATCTGACATTGACTGGGCAATACTCAGACTGCGTTTTGGAAACTTCGATAGTGAAATAAACATTGACCGTTGCTTGGGGTATCGGATAAGCCGGCGTCGGTATACTCCACTTTACTTTATAATTATAATAGGAGCTAAATACATCACTATCTCTAAAAATAAAGTCTATGCAAAATAACCACTTTGGATCTCTTTCCCAAGTACCTATGAATTCTTTAATTTTCTCTTCGCCAAGTTTTGTAGTAAATTCATAATTACTTGGCCACTTAATGTTGGGCACTCTCAATGGTTTGTGTTCGAGTTGCACAATTTTAGTAGTTCTCTCTGTAGTACCCTTCAAAGCATGTTTCATTGTACCTTTCACAACATGTTGAGCTATAGTTTTTAGTTCAAATGCTTTGCACATGTCGCCCGAAGAACTTGAAGACACCGTCGTGTAAGTTGAAGATTCAGCTTCTTCGATGGTTATCGGATTCATTTTTATGGATGAAAATAGAATTATGTATAAACTTCTTGTTTCTCTATTCCAAAAATTTGGCTCTTATATCTGCATTTCAAATCCACGAAAAATAATGTTCCCGTTTCTATCGATGGAATAATCTACAAACATAAATCTTTAAAAGATAAAAAAATAGTTCGTTAAGTTTACTCAATTTAATTTCGGAGCAATGTTTTACCCAGAACTATCGCTCTTAGCCCAGTCAATCAATCATGAATTCTTTCTTCTACACTTCACTGTATTAAGGTATGGATGGTTGAAGTTTACCACGTACGAAAACAATATTTCTAAAACGTCTTGATATAGTTACGAATATTCCCTGAAATAATATGTACAATACATTCTATTGTTTTCTAATGCAATTCAAAGAGCAACTATAAAAGGACATCAAGTAGGTTTAAAAAATGAAAAAAATATTTTCAGGATTTTATTTATTTAAAAAAATGATAGTTTTACGGAGAATATAAATCCGATTTATTGAAAGTTTGACCAAAATCAAGCCTAATATCAGCAGATTAAACACTTAAGTACATAAACTATTTCATGAAATAATGATGTAAGGAACCACGTTACTTATATAATGCATGAAAGGGGTCACTCAAAAATATGTTCTCAAAATTTTGCTTTTTCTGACTCCCTCCTCTTTATATTAGAATCGCCAAATTTTTAATAGGACGAAGGGCTTGCGTCAGTAACATGATAAGCCACAGCAAACCTCTCCATATCCGTAGTTGTTAATATCTCGATTTTGGTGAATGCGTGACTTATCTTGTTACTATAGTATATGTCTTCTTATTTCTAATACCCTGCAACGGAGAGTGCCGTCTTTTCCACACAAAAACTTTGTTTTGTGGGTCTCTGATACTGAAAAAGTTACTTTTTGTTGCTTCTTTTTTCGTAGTAAATTATCTTCCTCGACTACGTAAGGTAGGCAGAATCCGTTTTGTGGATCATTGAAACAGAAAAGTTGTAGTTGACAAAACGCCTGTCCGTCTCTGTCTCTCTGTCTGCTTGCCTCTCGTCTCTGTCTGTGAACACGTTAGCGTTAAACCATAGGTCTATCCAGAATTTTCTCCGCATTTGATATTCCCCGATCGATTTGACTCTTGTCGCGGCCCTTATTAGACTTACAAATTTTCATTTTATATTATTTTAATTTTTGGAGTACTTTACATAAAGCTCTAATGACAGTTTAGAAATTTTCTCAAAAATGGCTCCTTTTTGTCTTTTATTATCTCGAATGTACTAAAGTATGCTTATAAAAAATGGTACAGATCCGATTTTTGTAACGTTGTTTTTGGATATTCTTTACATGTTGGGGACGCAGCGCATTATACCTGTCTTTTGTCTTGATGCCAACCTGCGAACATGTCATGCAGTTCTACATCATGCAACTCCTAAATTTGATTTATATACTTATCATACATCATGTACAAATACCAATCAAAAAGATTCTCAGAACGTCGTTTACACATCGTTAGGTTTGTTTTGTATAATATTTAAATATGATTGTCTGCAAGATCTAATCACACTGCCAGAAAAATATCTATATCCCTTAGCGTATGCACAGAGGGGGCAAGAGTGGCCGTGCCCCTCGCAAAATTTCGAAAGGGGTCTCGTAACCCTACGCAATATTTAGGCTACATTCTTTTGCCTGAATATTATCAATTTATAATTTTAATATTTTTTAAGCCAATACCTTGGGAATTGATACACAACATTTGAGACGGAAGCTTTCCAAGCAAACTGGTAACCCTGTAAAATGATTCAACATAAAACTAGTTATCTTTAAATTTATAATTTTGTCCCCCTTTTAGTGTATTTGATTTAATTACTTGCTAGAAGAATATGACAGGATCTAAATAAAAAAGTTTAGCGGAAAAGGAAGCTCAGAGGGGCCCAGAAATGTAGTTGTCCCTCCCCCTCTTGTTTTAGTCTGCACACGCCTTTGTCCATAATTCATTATAAATTTATATTGAAAGATGAAATCTCACAGTTTAAAATTAATATATTTTTTTTTCTTTTGCAGGCTGGGAACTTAGAGGTCAACACTGCTATAAATTTTTTAGTATACGCCACTCTTGGGAACAAGCTGCTGAACTCTGCAGAAGGTATGATTAATGGTTAAATATCTCATCATTTCTTGGAACATCTTCCTTGAAGATGCTCCAAGATACTAGTTTAAGGAGAGAGGTAAAGTTCAGATTTCAGAAATGGACCTCTCGTTATTTTATTTCATATTCAAAATTTGTGTATTGGTGGTTCATTGCTCTTAAATTCATTGAGAAATGAAATTATCAATAAGTTACCAGATTCATAAACTACATGGAATCACTGAGAAATTTGTCAACGAACCATAGGAATTAAAAATCAAATTTTCTTCAGGTATGGCAGTGACTTGGTGTTGGTGGAGTCATATGGAGAAAATAACTTCACGGCGGGGCTGGCCTCCCGAAGCATGGGGCCCGCTGACCGAAGCAACCAGCACTACTGGTTGGGATTGGCGTCTCTGGATGACCTCCGAACGAACACTTTGGAATCGGCAGCAGGACTGCTAGTTTCACAGTATGCAGGTAAGATACAAGCCCCAACTCCAAATGAAGTGAGTATAGCTTTGTAGAAATGAACCTAATGAAATTCTTTTGTATGAAAAGGATTCTGGGCATTGACTCAGCCAGAACCTAAAGCAGGAGAGTGTGTGGACGTAGCTCTGTCAGATGAGAGCCAGTCATGGGAGCTCACTACGTGCGAATCTTTGATGCCATTCCTTTGCAAAGCACCAGCTTGCCCCGCAGGTATGTGTTTGCTCCACTGGAGAGATTTCTGATAATTCAAAATGCTGGAGACAGATCACTCTCTTTTTTTGATATAAGTTAACTTATTATATTCCTTGATGTGTGATGTGTGTTTTCAGGCTCCTTTCATTGTTCCAATGGTCGATGCATCAATTCAGCCTTCAAATGTGATAAACAAGATGACTGTGGAGATTTTTCAGATGAATTGGACTGCCCTGCAAATTGTAATTATTATATGGCTAGCAGTGGTGATGTGGTAGAAAGTCCCAATTATCCACAAAAATATGATGCTCTGTCCAATTGTAAATGGACTCTTGAAGGTCCCCAAGGACACAACATTTTACTTCAGGTATAATTAATTTAATTTATTAAAAACCCAAATTATACTTTCTAAATTTCTAACAACAATACCGTAATTGTGGAATTCTCATTTACAGTTCCAAGAATTTGAAACTGAGAAGTCATTTGATACAGTGCAAATTCTAGTCGGAGGAAGGACAGAAGACAAGGCTGTGAATTTAGCTACATTATCAGGGAAACAAGATTTAAGCAATAAGTTATTTATCTCTGCATCAAACTTCATGATTGTAAAATTCAGCACAGATGCCTCTGTAGAAAGGAAAGGTTTCAGGTAAGCCTCTATAACAATTTCTAAAATATAAATAAATAAAAAAGTACCCTTTCAATTTTGATGAATTGATAATTTTAAATATGTGTTTAAATTTATGAACATTCATTCCTTTTAGGGCTTCTTGGAAAACAGAACCTCAGACTTGTGGTGGTATTCTACATGCTACACCTCAGTCGCAAGAACTTGTGTCCCCAGGTTACCCTCAAGACTATCCTGGAGGTCTTGAATGTCTTTACATAATCTCTGCCCAAATTGGTAGAATAATAACTCTAGAGGTAAATAATATTAAATGGAGTAACAATTTTTAGCTTATTTAAGTTGAATATATTCATTTTTAACTATACACCGATTCTAATTCTTTTTGTACTCTTGCCAAATTACTTGCTACTCTTTTTGATGGTGATTGTAGGTCTTGTAAGTCATTATAATAAATGAATAGTTTTTAGTTTTTACACTACATTCAAATGTAATAATTGTAGGTTGATGATTTGGATCTTGAAAGAAATCGTGATTATATATTGGTGCGTAATGGTGACAATCCACATAGTGAGACAATTGCCCGCTTGACTGGCTCCAAAGATGACAATCCACCTCTCATTATGTCCACTGGAAATCAATTGTACTTGTATTTTAAAACAAGCTTAGGAGATTCTAGAAGAGGATTTAAGATCAGATACTCTCAGGGTAAGTTTGAATGGATATTCAAGGAGAGAATATTCTGAGTTGGTCTCTTGATTTAACTACAATAAAAGTAGCTTTTAACTCTTCTTACAATGTCAGAAGAGTTATGCAGTATTATTTCATACATGAATGTATTAATTTGTATTTCCTGTCATTTATCACTTCACATATTTTCTTGGTTTTCACAGGATGTAAAGCAACATTAATGGCAATGAATGGCACTTTGACTTCACCTGCTTTTAGCTTTGATAATTACCCCAGCAATCAAGAATGTTTATTCAAAATAAAGAACCCAAGCAAACGAGCTCTATCTCTCAAGTTTGATGAGTTCGATGTTCATTCTTCAGATTTTGTGCAGGTAAGTGGACAAATTTGTATACATTAAATTAAGTGAATGGATTTTCAATATACGTAATATCTATTAATGATTTGTAAAGGTCTTTGATGGTTCAAGTACTAGTGGTTTGGGATTACATTCTGGCAAAGGATACAATTCAAACACAGCTCCAAGAATCACCCTCACTGCTGCAAGTGGTGAAATGTTGGTGCGATTCACCACTGATGCTCTGCACAATAGCGCAGGATGGAAAGCAACATTTTCAGCTGGTATGTATATTTTTGTATTTTCTCTGGACCCTTGAGATTTTATATCAGAATGTAATTTTCATTTTATTTCTTAAACTAGATTGCCCTAAGCTTGTACCAGGAATAGGAGCTAAAGGTTCAACCCTGGATACAATGTTTGGAACTACTGTAACTTTCACATGCCCAGTTGGGCAAGAGTTTGCTACAGGCCGGCCTCGTATCACTACGGAATGCATGTTAGGAGGGAATTGGTCAGTTACATATATTCCTCCATGCCAGGGTAAGTAATTTATCAAGAAGAAAAAAAGACACCCAGTGTTACACATAGTTGCATTTTGAATTAAATTAATCCTCTTTCCAGAGGTGTATTGTGGACCTGTACCTCAGATTGACAATGGATTTTCTATTGGAGCTACTAATGTTACCTATCGAGGTCAAGCAATGTATCAGTGTTATGCTGGATTTGCTTTCCCATCTGCATTGCCAATTGAAAAAGTATCCTGCCTTGCTGATGGTCGCTGGGAACGATTACCAACTTGTTTAGGTAAGATTCTTTGCAATGTCAATAGTTTCCCCCCTTCCCCCACCCCACAAACTAAGATAATTATTTACTGTCAATCTATAATCTTCCAACAGCATCTCAATGTTCACCTCTAAGTGACTCTCCTCATGCAAATCAGACAATACTTAATGGTGGAGGTCGCAGTTATGGAACAATTATTCGTTACGAATGTGAGCCAGGTTATGTGCGTAATGGTCATCCAGTTATTTTATGTATGAGCAATGGAACTTGGTCTGGAAGTGTTCCTCTCTGCACTCGTAAGTAGAAATAATTTAATTAGAAACTAAGAAAGTCAAATAAAAAAAAACATGGGAAATCTTTTTACATAAAAAAATTTATACTTCAATTTAAAAAGTCAAAAAACTTTGAGATATTATCTTTATTTCAAAAAAAAAAAATCTTTAAATTAAAATTCTAGCAGCAATATTGAATATTTCACTCCATTTATATAAACCTCTACTAACTTTAATATTGATTTGGATCATTATTTTCAATGTGTGTACTGCATCTTTTTAGATGTAACATTAAATAATTTCTCATGATCCATTATTTATTATCCAAGAAAATACTGCAGTTTAATTTTGAATAAGTATTTAGAGAAAACAAAAATTAAGTGTTTAATTGACAATCAAAATATATTAAAAACATAGGTATGCACTTTATACTTTTTCTGATGTAGGTGCAAAATGTTACGACTTTCCAACCATAAATAATGGATTTGTGACCGACACTTCCCGTGAATATTACTTTGGAGATGAAGCCAGAGTGCAATGTCACAAAGGTTACAAGCTCACTGGATCAAACATCATTAAATGTGGAATACATCAGAAATTTGATAATCCACCAACATGTGAAGGTAAATTATTTTCTCCTATTTTCTCCATAATTTCTTTTTAATTTTATTGCATTTTATTTACGTATATTTTTTTATTTACCATTTGTTCCAGATGTAAACGAGTGCTCTAACAGCCAATGTGATCTGGCTTCTAGTGAGTGCATCAATACTCCAGGAGCATTCCATTGTCGATGCCGCAAAGGCTTTGCTCCTAATCTGGAATGTCGTCCAGTTGGTGATTTGGGTTTAATTACAGGAGGAATACCTGACGAATCTATTACTGTTTCTAGTGAAGAAAATGGCTACAGAAAATCTGTAAATAAAACAGCTGAATATCTTTGATCCAATTACATAAGCATTTTATGTCAACAAAAGATCAGATAAAATCATGGTGTAATTTACTGTAATTTATTTCTTTTCTAGGGTGTACGACTTGTCAATCCTGAAGGTTGGTGTGGAAATAGTGTGGAGCCTGGATCCAATTGGGTGTTATTGGATTTGAAGGCACCAACAATTGTAAGAGGATTTAGAACTCAGAGTGTAACTAGGCCAGATGGTAATTTAGCTTTCACATCTGCTGTTAGAATTCAGGTAGAAATATATTATTTTATCTCTAACCTTAATATGTTTAATTTTACATTGCTTTTGTTGCACTTACATGAACTAGTAATTAATTTTTGTGATATTACTTCCAGTACACTGACAACTTAACAGATATATTTAAAGATTACACAAATCCTGATGGTACTCCTGTGGAGTTTCGTATTTTGGAGCCCAGCTTGTCAGTACTCAATCTTCCTATGCCCATTGAAGCTCAGTATGTTCGTTTCAAGATTCAGGTACATGTCAAATACTTATCATGAAATTCATATTTGATTCACTTCATATAGCATTTTATTTAATGCTTTTCCAATTTATTGATGTAGGATTATGTTGGAGCGCCTTGCTTGAGGCTTGAAGTAATGGGCTGCACACGTCTTGAATGTTCCGATATCAATGAGTGCTTGGATAACAATGGAGGTTGTGATCAGAAGTGTATCAACAGGTTGGTATTAAAACTTCTAAAATTGCATGATGTTTTTAAATTTCAGAAAAGACACATATAATTGCGATACTTAATGTATTACATCTATTTTTTGTAGTGCTGGAAATTTCTCCTGTGTTTGTAATGTTGGCTATGAATTGTATTCTCAAAACGGTACTGCTGGCTTTAATATTGATGGATCAGAAAGTGGTTCCAGAGATGGAGATGTTTTCCAATTAAATAAGAGTTGTGTACCAGTCATGTGTCCTTCTCTTCCCGCACCTGAGAATGGTTTGATATTATCTACAAAGGCAAGTTGTTACTCAAAACCATGTCAGAGTTCATATTTTATTCCATTATATTTACATGAATTGTAAAAGTTGTTTATGAAAAAATAATACTTGCACTAATTGTTTATTTCTTTTTAAATTTCAGAAAATGTATCACTTTGGTGACTTAGTGAGTTTTCAGTGCAATTTTGGTTATGTCATGTCTGGTTCAGCTTCACTGCTATGCACTTCTGCGGGACAATGGAATGGCTCTGTTCCAGAATGTGAATGTAAGCTGACACTGAAGTAATTTTTGATAAAATTCTTACGACAGTGCTAAAAATGATTTCCTTTTATTTTTAGATGCCACGTGTGTATCACTTCCTGACATTGTTGCTGATGGCCTCACAGTTGTGAGAGAAGATCCAAATAGTGTTCTTGTCCCTTTTAGAGAAAATGTCACAGTTAATTGTGGTGCTACAGGAAAAATCTTGAGAAAAACGGCAACCTCTGGTTTTCGGCAATGTGTGTATGATCCTAAACCTGTAAGTGATTTTTAGTTTAATATTGTCTGTGAAATTATGGTTGCATTATTTATATTCTGGTTACAATAATCTCAACTGAATCAATTTTGTATTTCAAGGGAAAGCCAAGCTACTGGCTATCAGGATTGACACCAAGTTGCCCTCGAGTTGACTGTGGAATTCCCCATCCCACCCCAGGGGCAGAATACGGCAATTATTTGGATACAAAATTTCAGTCTTCCTTCTTCTTTGGTTGTCAGGACACTTTTAAACTTGCAGGACAGACTAATCATCATGATAATGTTGTTAGGTGAGTAGTGTTGACATAAGTGTTGTTAATTGTCCTGGTTCTTTGAAAGGCACTCACTGTTTGAATCATCTTGTAACTGCAAAAAATTCCTAACTACAAATTCATCTGATTTCTGATTCTATAGCTACCTTTTTGACTGCATCACATTTTGACTTCATAGCCTTTTCCATTATCTTTTGAAAATATAAAATTATAAAAAGTAAGAAGCAAAATTTCACACATCTAAACCAGTGACGTCTAAAAACTTGCAGAATAAATATTATTATAAATTTTCTGATATTTCAAGTTTTAAGTGAGTTAATAAAAACAAACAAACAAATTGCAGATGTCAAGCAAATGGTGTCTGGGATTTTGGAGACCTACGCTGTGAGGGCCCAGTGTGTGATGATCCTGGAAGACCTACTGATGGATTCCAAGTAGCTCGCAGTTATGAACAGAGTTCTGAAGTAGGATTTGGCTGCAATAGGCCAGGTTATATTCTTATCAATCCTCGACCTATAACATGCATCCGTGAGCCTGAATGTCGAGTCATCAAACCTCTTGGTTTGGCATCAGGAAAAATTCCTGACTCTGCAATCAATGCTACATCAGAAAGGTAAGTAATATCTATTTTCTCAATTTACATTTTAATTCTTCAAAGCAAGGTTTAAAAGTTAATGCTGCTATGATTTAATTTCAGACCTAATTATGAGGCTAGGAACGTAAGACTTAATTCAGTGACTGGATGGTGTGGAAAACAAGAAGCATTCACATATGTGAGTGTTGATCTTGGTCAAGTCTATCGAGTAAAGGCAATTCTGGTGAAGGGAGTTGTCACAAATGATATTGTAGGACGTCCCACTGAAATTCGGTTTTTCTACAAACAAGCAGAGAGTGAAAACTATGTTGTTTACTTCCCTAACTTTAATTTAACAATGAGGGATCCTGGTAATTATGGTGAACTGGCAATGATTACTCTTCCTAAATATGTTCAAGCAAGATTTGTTATTCTTGGTAAGTGAACTTTAAAAACACTTCATAATTACACTATGTTCACAAATTACACTATATTGATTTTTTTTTTTTCTTTTTAATAATATGTTGTTGTTTTTTGTCTTTCAGGAATTGTTAGTTACATGGATAATGCCTGTTTAAAATTTGAACTTATGGGATGTGAAGAGCCATCAGCAGAACCTCTTCTTGGTTATGATTATGGTTATTCTCCTTGTGTTGGTGCGTCATCAAAATTAATTTATTTTCAACTCAATTACAATCCTATTTAGGAGGTGATAAGCATGTCAGGTACTTTGAATATCTTTAATTGTTAATATTTTTGTGACAGACAATGAACCACCAGTCTTCCAGAATTGTCCACAGCAACCTATCATTGTGAAGAAAGGTCCCAATGGTTTGGAACCTGTGAACTTCACTGAGCCCATTGCAGTTGATAATAGTGGTAGCATTGCTCGCTTGGAAGTGAAACCTCAGAGTTTTCACACTCCTCTTCAGGTTTTTAAAGACATGGTTGTGAAATATGTTGCATTTGATTATGATGGCAATGTTGCTATTTGTGAAATTAACATCACTGTACCAGGTAAGAAAAGACTTCCATTTATTTGAAAAATTGAAAAGTCTTCAAATCTTTTGTTTGCTTTATTTATTTTTAATTCAATTAATAGAATAATTAATTATTTCCTGTAGATGACACCCCACCTCTACTCAGTTGTCCTCAGAGTTATGTGATAGAATTAGTAGACAGACAAGAAAGTTATGCTGTCAATTTTAATGACACAAGACGTCGGGTCAATGCCTCTGATGCTTCTGGGGAAGTGAGTGTTCGATTTGTGCCAGAGCGAGCAACCATACCCATTGGTGGATTTGAAAATGTGACTGTCATTGCAACAGATAAATTTGGAAATCAAGCTACTTGTCATTTTCAAGTAAGTATTATGACAAGACAAAATTTTTTACTCAAGGCATATTTCTCAAAAATTTTAAATTATGAACATTCCTCTTGTGCTCTTCAGGTGGCTGTACAAGCTACACCCTGTGTAGATTGGGAATTGCATCCTCCAGCCCATGGAGCACTGAACTGTTTGCCTGGAGATCGAGGTTTGCAGTGTATTGCCACTTGTAATCCAGGATTTAGGTACAATAAGTGGATACCCTCATGACTTTCAATTTCTTATCAACTATCTAATGCTTAAAAATTAATCACACAATATATGCACCTTTCCAGGTTTACAGATGGGGAACCAGTAAAAACCTTTAGCTGTGAAGAAAAGAGCCCTTGGTCTCCTACATCTGTTGTACCTGATTGTGTGTCAGAAAGTAAGTGGATTTTTTCTCAGTGTTTTTGGCGTTGAATGAAATTATCGCTTTTTCAAATAAATCAATAATTTATAAATACATAAGAGATTAGTATGCCTTTTCTTTATTTTTTTATCTTCCATGAGACTTCATTGTTTCATAGTAACATTAACAAAATGAAAGGGTGCTTGCAAGCCCACATGGTCTCACTTGTTTATTAGAAATTGCAAGTAGCCAATATTTTAGTTAAAATATTCTTGATCATGAATGCCAGAAGAGGCAATGAATGAACAAGGTGATCCAAATCACTTCACTGTATTTATAGACTTTCATAATGACATTCGGTTTGATCAGAGCCACAACTTTAAAAACAGTACTGTAATATGCATGTGAAATTTATATGTAAAAAATATTCTTGCACACATGTCTATAAAGAGATCAAGAAACTATAAATTATAAAAATTATAAATAAAATAATGTTCAACAATATATAGAAATGAAATTATAATGAGCATATTATTTTCAGTTTTTCGATGTAATCACTAGAAAGAACAGAACATATTAAACCCAAATTAATTATGTTCTGATTAATAATACAAACAGATAATTAAATTATGATCTTTTGTTGTTTATCGAAAGGCTTGAACATATTCATCTTTTACAGTTAGCATATACTTCAATTACTCTTACTGGCATACTTTTATTTTATTTTATTTTATTTTTTTCACTATTGACAGACCTCACTGACTCAGTGGATATTTCAATTGAAGTAAGTCTTGGAACCGTATTCTCATGGCAGTTAGTGTGTTGTACATTTCTAATTTTATTAATTAAGTATGTTTAATGAATATTTCAATGTTTCTCATTTTATTGATGGACACAATTGTTTCTTGTTTTTTCACAGATACGCAGCAAGCTGACTATCATGTTGTTTCATCTGTAACTTACCGTGCCAATGGTGCCGTAGCCAATTTCTGTTTATCACAGTACACTGATCTACTGACGCAATATTACAGTAGCTTGAATAGTGTTCTAACTCAACGGTGTTCAGCTGTCAATGTCAATATGAATGTTTCGTTCATTGATGCTAAACCACAGTTATTAGAAGAAAATGTTGTCCAGGTAAGACACTTATAAAACCATCAGTAACTCATTTTTATATAATAATAATAAATATAATGTGATATTTATTACAATGTTTTATTGCAGATGGACTTCATTCTAGTTATTGTTCCTGCTGTAAAACAACCTCAGTTATATGATCTTTGTGGATCAACATTGAATTTAATATTTGATTTATCAGTTCCTTATGCTAGTGCTGTAATTGAGCCTTTGCTCAATGTATCAGCCATAGGAAATCAGTGTCCTCCTTTGAGAGCGCTGAAATCAAATATCTCACGTGGTTTTGATTGTAATGTAGGAGAGGTTCTTAACATGGATACCAATGATGTGCCAAGATGCTGTAAGTATTGCAATGAATACCATATACATGCAACATATGAAGCATTACTGACTCAAATACATTTTACTGAAACACACATTATCTCACTTTTATTCCAGTGCACTGCCCTGCTGGAACTTTTGCTGGCGAGAAGCAAAGACTTTGCACAGCATGCCCAAGAGGATTTTATCAGAATCATGATCGCCAAGGCTCTTGTTTAAGATGTCCTTTAGGCACTTACACGAGGGAAGAAGGTAAACATTTAACTAATTCTGTTTGGTTTAATTTTAAACTGGTATGCGTTTTGTTGTTGTTTAGAGTAAATAAAAAGAATAGACATTAAGGATAAATATAATTTACATAATTTACTGGTGTTTACAAAATAAATTGATTGTTTATCACTGAATAATTTTACAGATTAAAATAACTGAAATTTATGTCTGGTAATTGTAGCATGCAAATCATCTACAAGCTTCACAATTTTTAGACATCATGTGAATGAAGTCTCATACGAGTACATACACATAAATGATTTATGAGTGATTGTGTTCTTTATTAAAATAATTTACAGTTCTAATTTATAATAAGAATTTAATTAAAAAATGCTAAAATATGCAATCAATGCCTATTCCCAAATATGTATATTTAATGACTTTCTTCCATGATATAATTGTTCTAAATCAGAAAGGGTAATCCTTCATATAAATCAAAATCAAACACATCCATTCTCTTCAAGGATCCAAGAGCATTACTGACTGCATTCCTGTTTGTGGTTATGGCACGTACTCTCCAACTGGATTGGTTCCCTGTTTGGAATGTCCTCGAAACAGCTACACTGGAGAACCTCCAACAGGAGGATTCAAGGACTGTCAAGCATGTCCAGCAAGTACATTCACATATCAACCTGCTGCACCAAACAAGGGTTTCTGTCGAGGTATGTTATCAATGAATGTATGGTTATTTTTTTTTTCATTTCTTATATTCATGAATGGAAAGTTTTTTGTTGTTCTGAAAATTACTTTAACTACTATTTTACTCCATCAGCAAAATGCTCCCCTGGTCAGTATTCTGATACTGGTCTCTCACCTTGTGCTCCATGCCCTAAGAATTTCTACCAGCCTCAAGCAGGACAGACAACGTGCTTTGAATGCCCAACAAATATGCGAACACCTGGTCCAGCTGCAGTTGGTCGGGAAGAATGTGAGGCTGTTCAGTGCACTGAAAATGCTTGCCAACATGGTGGTCTTTGTGTACCTATGGGTGAGTGAGTGATAATGGTATTTAACATACCGTGTCCCTTTTATAAATTTCATGTCAAACTCATGACTATTGCCATTTTTTAAAAGGCCATGGAATCCAGTGCTTCTGCCCTGCTGGATTTTCGGGTCGTCGTTGTGAAATTGATATAGATGAATGCTCATCCCAACCTTGCTATAATGGTGGAACATGTACTGATCTTCCTCAAGGTTATCGTTGCCTCTGCCCGCCAGGTAAAACAAACTAAATATTTATTATTGCTCATCTATTTAAAGTGCATACTTGTCAAAAATGCTAAATGAGAAAGTAATAACAAACATTATCCATTATTATTCATAGCTTTTTGAATATTAATAATACTCCAAAAAGTCAAGAAAACAGTTCAAAGTTAAATAAGATTACATACAATAATACAAAACAATTTAAAAATCTAGTATTGAAATTAATCTATGAAAACATTAAAAAATGTGTTTTGTAATAATTTTTGTAACTAACTTAAATTCAACAAAAAAGGAATTAAATTGGAAATGTCACTATTTTCTTAATGAAGATTTCTTAGTCTTGTGAAATGAGTGACACAGCTCCACACTGCTAACTAATTTTGTAATATGCTTTCTATTGCAGGATATTCTGGAATAAATTGTCAAGAAGAAAAATCTGATTGTCGAAATGATACTTGTCCTGAGAGAGCAATGTGTAAAGATGAACCAGGAGTAAATAACTACACCTGCTTGTGTCGTTCAGGATACACTGGAGTGGATTGTGATATAACTGTAAATAATCATTCTTTAATACATTAATATTCTTTTATTTAAAACTCATTAAATAATATAATTTGTGAAAATATAGGTCAATTAATTGTGGCCTTCTTTTGATGTAGATCAATCCTTGTACTGCCAATGGCAATCCTTGTTCAAATGGAGCAACTTGTGTGGCTCTGCAACAAGGGCGTTTCAAATGTGATTGCTTACCTGGATGGGAAGGACAACATTGTGAAATTAATACTGGTAAGTCAATTACTTGAAACCGTTTACAGAAAGTATTTTTAATTATTAATTTTCCCCCTCCCTAAGCCAACAACTACTGAGAGATACCTCATAGGGTTTTTGATAAATTGTAGTTTTCAAATTACTATTGAACTCATGAAATGTAAAATTTAAAAAGGAAATACTACTTGTTTTCAAATTACTATTGAACTCATGAAATGTAAAATATAAAAATATCGAGGAAATACTACTTGAATGAATCTTTTCAACTAGAGTGAAATTAATTTTATTTTCCATTCTTACAGATGATTGTGCAGAGCAGCCTTGTCTTCTAGGAGCTAACTGTACAGATCTTGTAGCTGATTTCAGCTGTACTTGTCCATCTGGTTTCACTGGGAAACGTTGTCATGAAAAAATTGACCTCTGTGGTGCTAATCCTTGTCTGAATGGTGTATGTGTGGACAAATTATTTTCACATCAATGTATCTGTTATCCTGGCTGGGCTGGTAAGGATTATTTCTTTTCGATAAACTAAATTATTTTCGTTATTTGTATCTTTAAGTGTTATTTTTTTTTTTTAGGACCATCATGTGATATTAACGTTAATGACTGTGAAAGTGCTCCTTGTGAAAATGGAGGATTGTGTGAAGATATAGTTGATGGCTTCAAGTGCAGCTGTGAGCCTGGCTACACTGGCAAATTCTGTCAGCATACTGTTGACGATTGTGCGTCCGAACCATGTCAGAATGGAGCTTCATGTGTGGATATGCTGGATGGCTTTATGTGCAAGTGTCGACCAGGATTTGTTGGTAAATATATACTTCAATATTTCAAGTTATGATTGCTTAAGGAAATAGTTATGATATCCGTTTCAATTTCTCAACACAGGTCTTCAGTGTGAAACGGAAATTAATGAATGCTTGAGTGAACCTTGCAATCCTGAAGGTACAGAGATCTGCGTAGATGAAGATAATAAATTCACTTGTAAATGTAGAGTTGGATTTACAGGAAAGTTTTGTGAGGTTAGTATCTTTATTTTAATTTAATTTTTTAAGATAATTTTGATTTATAGAGAATTAAGCCCTGACTGTGATAGCTCAGGCAACACCATTGCCTCTTTTGGAATTGTTACTAGGAGGTTGTAGGGTTCAAATCAAAATGATGATAGATTTTTGACACTCTTTGTAGCTGGGTTAAAGTCAGTTCACTGACTGCAGGAAAATTCTAGGGGCTGACTGCTTTGATCAGTAGTTCTCTTTGGTTTTTCCAATCAATACCAGGTGAATGTTGGAGCAGTATCTTAAATGGACCACATGTAATTATTCCTTTCCCCTCTTTGCCCTTTTTTGTCCCCTTACATACACACCACGCTACTACACATGTTAGGAGATCAGTTGGAAACTTATATTAGCTGGGACAATGAACTGCTGGGAGAGATACCTGAAGAAGGAAAACCTGACTGACAGGATGGTGTTCAATTTAAGGGACCGCCACCACCGCTTCCAGGAACGCCACCACTTCCTAGCATATAACATGCACCTCAAAGGAATTGACTTCAGTAGTTGACTCGCCGAGAATCAACATTCTTTCACTCATATATTGATTTATATTCACTCCTAGATATTGAGTTATAGTTGTTTTAATTTAGAGTGGTAAATGCTTTTTCGTGCAAAATTAAGAATGAAATTATAAGCCTTAAATATCTCTTCAAAGCAAAATATAAAAACATGTTACATTTAAATGAAGATAATTGCATAGTGATTGCAATAAAAAAAAATCATCAGTTATTTTTATTTTCAAATTCAAAATACATTACATGAGTATAGGCAGAGACATACCTTTTAGACCTATCTTTTGAATTTGAATGTAATATAGGTTGGTTTGTGCCCTCAGGTAAATATTGATGACTGCGCTTCAGAACCTTGTCTAAATGGAGCTGTATGTAAAGATGAAGTGGGTGGGTTCCAATGTACTTGTCCCCCTGGATGGACAGGACATCAATGTGAGAGTGACGTTGGTTCTTGCCAAAATCAGCCTTGTCAGAATGATGCAAATTGCATTAACCTTTTCCAAGACTTCTTCTGTGTGTAAGTATTATTTCTTCAAATTGTGATGAATGAAGGTGATTCAAACATTGACCAATGACATGTATTCACATAAGGCATTAATGACAATGAATTGCCATTTTTAGGTGTCCTTCAGGAACAGATGGTAAACATTGTGAAACTGCTCCAGAAAGATGCATAGGCAATCCTTGCATGCACAGTGGAAAGTGCCGAGACTTTGGTTCAGGACTCAATTGTTCTTGTCCTGCAGACTACACAGGCATTGGCTGCCAATATGAATATGATGCATGTGCAGCTGGAGCATGCCAGAATGGAGCAACTTGCATAGATAATGGTCCAGGTTACACATGTATTTGCCCTCATGGTTATACAGGTGAATATTTCATATTTTACATTATATAAAACCATTGACAAAAATTAATAATTTGACAATAAATAATAATTATTATAAATAACTCAACAAATTGTAAAAATTATAACTATCAATCATCAAAAAAGGCAATGTGGTGAGAAGTTAAAATAGTGGAAAACTAATAATTTTCAGATTATCCAAATACTTTCTAATTTTAAAAAGGTGATTTATTTATAGAATATGGGAAAGTTTTGTACATTTTTATTTTAATTCACTGTACGGAAAATACTTTTCATTTGAATTAGTGTAAGTTTCTTCACATTATTAATATTCTCCTCTAAAATAATTTTTGACTGTTCATGATTTTTACTAACTTTTATATTTCAGGCAAAAATTGTGAAGATGATATTGTTGATTGCAAAGAAAACTCTTGTCCTCCATCCGCAACATGCATTGATTTGACAGGAAAATTTTATTGCCAGTGCCCATTCAATCTTACAGGAGATGATTGTAGGAAAAGTAAGTGAACTTAATACTCAGAATGCTATTAAAAAAAAAAAAATCACATCTTTCAGGCATTAAATTACACTTTCATCCATTTTCAGCAATATCTGTGGACTATGACCTGTACTTCAGTGATCCAACACGCAGCAGTGCATCACTTGTAGTGCCTTTCTATCTGGGTAGTAAAAGTAGTCTCACGATTGCTATGTGGGTGCAGTTCACTCAAAGGGATGAAGGAGGCATATTTTACACTCTATACAGTGTCACGTAAGTGTTTATTTTAAGTAAAGGTACTTTTAGAAAATCTTCAGCATATTAATACTCTGTTTTTTTTATTTATTTTGTTAGGTCTCCTCATATACCATCAGGACGTAGAGTAATGCTGCAAGCTCATAGTAATGGAGTGCAGGTTTCATTATTTTCGGACCTTCAAGATGTGTACTTAGGATTCAGAGAATATGCAACTATCAATGATGGACAGTGGCATCACATTGCTGTAGTATGGGATGGAGAAAAAGGAGGAGAACTAACCCTCATTACTGAAGGATTGATAGCAAGTAAAGTAGAAGGTTATGGAGGTGGTAGAAAACTGCCTGAACAGTGAGTTCATTAATATTTATGAGTAATACAATTGTATAGTAGGCTCAGTAACACATGATTCAATGTGGAATATTTGTTTCAGTGGCTGGGTAACATTAGGAAAGCCCTCCAGCGATAATCCAAAAGCATATACTGAATCTGGTTTCCAAGGTCATTTGACTAAAGTTCAAGTGTGGGGAAGAGCATTAGATGTCACTAATGAAATTCAGAAACAGGTATCAAATTATGGCACACACATTTAGTTCTTATAATGATTCTTTTTGTTTTTTCTTCTAAGCCTTTGACTTCTACATTTGGCAAAAATCTTAATTTTTGTAGAAACAAAAGACAAAAAGAAACAAAAAAATATTATCAATGAAGGAAAAGGAAAATCTTGTTAATTAGAAAATTAAAATGTAATACAATAGAAAATTGCAATCTTACCTTTTATACTTTATTCGTGTACACATTGTTTAAATTCTGTCTTCTCTCAGTTCATGGGCATACTACATTTTTTTTTTTTTTTCAGGTGCGAGACTGCCGCACAGAACCTGTATTGTATCGTGGTTTGACTCTCACTTGGAATGGCTATGATGACACAGTTGGAGGAGTTGAACGAGTTGTTCCTTCACATTGTGGTCAGAGAGTCTGCCCAGCAGGGTTCAGTGGGGCAAGATGTGAACAACTTCAAGTAGACAAGGTATTCAACATTCCTAATTCTAATCTCTGCTGTAGTATTAAAAAATGATTTTTAATAATCATGTTATTTCTTTTCCATTCAGGTGCCACCAAAGGTGGAACATTGCCCAGGTGATTTGTGGGTAATTGCAAAGAATGGCTCTTCAATTGTATCTTGGGATGAGCCACATTTCAGTGACAATGTTGGAATTGTGCGAGTTGAAGAAAAGAGTGGACATCGACCTGGCCAGACACTTTTGTGGGGAACTTACTCTATTGCATATGTAGCATATGATCAAGCAGGAAATAGTGCTACATGTTCCTTTAAAGTCTACGTTTTGGGTAGGGACATACTTCATTGTGAAATCCTTGGAAATGAAATAAAAATCTCAATGTTTTTTAATGAACATTCACTAACATATCTCAATTGTCTTTTGCAAAACAGCTGAATTTTGTCCCGAGTTGGCTGATCCTATTGGAGGTACACAAATGTGCAGAGATTGGGGATCAGGTGGACAATTTAAAGTGTGTGAAATTTCCTGCAATGCTGGCCTGCGATTCTCTCAAGAAATACCAAAATTTTACACTTGTGGAGCAGAAGGATTTTGGAGGCCAACTAATAATCCAAAGTTACCAATGGTGTATCCGGCATGTTCCAGTATGTCTTTTTTAATAATTTTGTGCATTCATTTTTCCCTTAATGAGCTTCTGTAAGTGTATTTGAGCATTTTATAATTTCATAAATCTTCTTTTCAGGTTCACATCCTGCCCAAAGAGTTTTCAAAATTAGTATGCTCTTCCCTAGTTCAATTTTGTGTAATAGTGCTGGACAAGTTGTTCTTAAACAAAAAGTTCGTAATGCGGTCAATGCTCTAAACAGAGACTGGAATTTCTGTTCCTACTCAATGGAAGGTAATATTCTGTTTTTATGTTACTTCTTATTGCTTAGTTAATGAAGATTTGATTAAATATTTATAGTAATGTAAAAGATTGGTAGCATTATCTTATGACTATTTGAACTGTTCTTAAGGCACACGAGAATGTAAAGACTTGAATATCGATGTGAAATGTGACCATCGCTCTCGTCCAACCAGACAGGCTCCAGAAAGTGGAGGAACATATGTTCTTGATGCCAGCGTTCCTGTTGATAAGTATGTCAATCCTACATTTATTTTACAAGGCAATGAATTTAGAGTTTAGTAAACTATTGTTGCCTTAAAAAGTTATTATTTAATGATGCAGTTTTTGTGCACATCACCCGTTTGTAGATTTTCCATTATCTCTAGATGTTTAGAGCCTATTAGAAAATATTTTGTCAGTAGTAATTACTTCTCACAATTATAAGCATGTTTTATTTTAGCAAAACATTGTAAAGAACTGTAGAAAAGTAGTTAGTTTAAATGATATGATGTTTAATTTCTATTATTTCACAAATGTTCTGGTGACAGATCTAGTTTTGGGTTTGTATTTTTGTGCACTGCATGTTTCTTATGGTTGTCACAGGCTTGGAAGACAATCTCGTCAGGCCAGTGACACATACAACGTAGAAATTTCCTTCCCAGCTGTCAAGTAAGCACTGTATTTCATAATGTAGAATAGAAATTGCATGTGCATGGTTTCATTTAAGGCACTTTTGCACTAGAGGAAAGGATGAGGATTTCCCTAATTTCCTGTCAAAAGAATTATTCAAATTACTCTAATTAAGGAAATTACATATTTTTGATTTGGTTTTAGGTCTGATAAATAACTGATATGGTCACAATTTCAATAAGTAAATGTTTATGGAGAAGACGTACACGTAAAAGAGTACTGTTCACAATACATACATATTTAAATAAAATACAATTGCAAATAATAAAACAAAACGGATAGGAATTGCTCGTGAGTGGAGAATAGCAGAAAGTTCATTAACTACAATTAAAGTTTTACAAAGAATCATGAAATGTCTGATAGTTCTTGTAACTTTTGATTTACATATATGCGATGCATAAGTTCAGCAATGAGAAAAACAGGGAAATGAAATGATTTTGTAGTATAGCCAAAACATATAAATTGTTTCTCTGCAAATAACTTGATTTCTGTGAATAAATATATCCCATAGTTAATGTGTGTATGCATGCTATCCTTTTAGTGATCCTGTAATCAACTCTAACTCAAATGAAAGATCTAATGTGCAAAGACTACTGGAAAAACTTATTCTGGAAGAGGATCAGTTCGATGTCCACGACATCTTGCCAAACACAGTTCCAGATCCTGCATCTCTGCAGCTGCAATCTGACTATGCTTGTCCACAAGGGCAGGTTGTCATAGCCCCTGACTGTGGTAAGTTTATTTAAAAATAGATGATGAACTACCATTATTTTGGTGGAGAATGTTTTTAAAGCTCCTTTATTCTGGATGTATTTTATTCATTTTATAGTTCCTTGTGCTGTTGGGACATTCTATGATGCAAACACTAAGATTTGTATACCATGCCCTGTGGGAACATATCAAAGTGAATCAGGTCAATTGCAATGCACAACATGTCCTGTGATTGCTGGACGACAAGGAGTTACAGTTGCTCCAGGAGCCAGAAGTGCTTCAGATTGCAAAGGTAAAAAAATATGGAAATTGTTTTCTTGTATTCATTCATTCATGTTATTATTTTTACCAACAGAGGGAATTTATTTTTATTTTTCTCAAGTACATTAAAAGGAAAATGTAAACATGCAAAAATCTCTAACAAGATTTTAATTGTTCATGGTTTTCTAATTCATTCAAAATTGACCACATATTAACAAATAGATTTTGGTTTACCACAATGTATCAATCTTTTATTAGGATTTTCAACAAGGTTTTATAATTATCATGATAACATTACATAAAACAAGTAGTATAAAGTGTATTTAACAAACAAATAATTTCTACAAAAATAAAATATTGTCAGTAAAAATATATTTTCTGTAAAGGTAATAAATCTAAAAGTAATTGGAAAAATATATAAAAATTGGAGAGAAAAAAACAATTACTTTTGTTTAATTTACAAAATAATTTTAATATTCTGCCGTCATAAAGAATAGGTTGATGGATAAATGAAGGTAAGCATCCACAGAATGAATACAAACGTTTTTAGATCCCTAATGCCAAGAAAGTGTTTTTATTCAATTATGTCTACCTGTGAAAAACTCTAAAGAGGATGTAAACAAGATTTTGTCTAAACTTCATATTCTCTGATTGATGTGGCAGCCTAAAGGCCATGCAAATTTGAGAGTAATCTGAATTTTTAAGGTAAATTTATAGACTACTCAAACAAGAAATTTAAAGAAAAAAATGTGGAGCTTTTTAGAGAAAATTTTGAAGTGTGGTATGAGCTGTTTACAAGTTTTCAATTGAGCCAAGTTTGGCTACAAATATGTTAAGTCAGATTTTCATTAAAACTTAAATTTTCTAAAAGTACCTACTAAAGACAAGGTTTTTTTCCCAAACTACTTTTACACTTTCATAATCGAAGCTGGAGATTTTTGCTCTTGATGCAATTGCGTTTTCAATATTAGGGTATTGAAGGATGTCATTTACAGATTTTTAAAAATATTAAGAAAAATTTTAATATTTGAAACAAACTGTTTCATTTCTCCAAAACACTTACATTAGATGTTCTCAAAAGTGACTCAGTTGTTCTTGTAACTTTTTGGACCAGAAGAGCACTGAATCGTATGATGTAAGTGCCAATTTCAAAATTTCACATAGTATGTAATTTTATTTATAATCTCTTGTGCATCTTCATTGTTGATATTTTACAATATAAGGTAAAAAAGATTTAAATGACCTGTTATGAATTTTATGAAAATTTAAGTTTTCATGTGTATTCATTCTCAAAAATGGCCCTAAATTTGTACTTGAAAAAATATAGACATGTTGATCAAATAGCTCCTAAATATGGTATTCTACAACAATTTCTGTACATTTTATGAATTTGAAGGAAAATATTTAGGATGCGAGAGCTAAAGGATTAAAGCTGAAGAAGCTTTTAAGCATTTTGCAACACATTTTATTTGTCTGTCATTCGTATGTCATATGCTCAGTTGTCCAAATAAGCAGTAATTAAGTCAGATATCCTTATTAAGTATGTATTAGATTATATTAGTTAATGGACGAAGGGTGCAGTGTTTCAAGCAGTTTAATCAAGGTGTTCTTGCAATTGATGCCTGAAATAATAGTAGTAACATATAAATTGCAATATAATAATTGTAATTTTATGTTACCATGACAAACAAAATAAGCTGTTCAATATTGTTATATTTTGAATTCAAGAAGGATGTTTTAAAAAATGTTTTATTTTTTTCCTCAGAACGTTGTCCAGCAGGAAAATACTTTGATGATGAAGCTGGACTATGTAGAAGTTGTGGTCATGGATTCTATCAACCCAGTGAAGGTAGCTTCAGTTGTCTGCTCTGTGGATTAGGGAAGACAACTAGGACTACTGAGGCTGTATCTCAGGAAGTAAGTGATTGATTATTTCAATTTTAAATTAATATTTTTAAAATTTTCTTTACTTACAAAAAAAATAAATGTAGAAGTTATTTATAAAAATTACTTGTCACATAAATGTGGTCTTAAAATAACATTGTTATTAACAGTTAGTTTATTTTTTTTTTCAATGCATAGGAATGTCGAGATGAATGTGGTTCAGGAATGCAGTTGGGAGTAGAAGGAAAATGCGAAGCATGTCCTCGAGGAACTTACAGAACACAGGGTGTACAGGCTGCCTGTCAAGGATGTCCACTGGGTCGTACAACTCCCAAGTATGGCGCAACATCAATTGAAGAATGTTCATTACCTGTTTGCCCACCAGGAACGTACCTCAATTTCACTCAGAATAGCTGTGAAGTTTGCAAGAAGGGAACATATCAATCGGAACCTCAGCAAACATCATGTATTACATGTCCTCCAAATACTAGCACAAAGGGAACCTCTGCAGTAAGAACATCATATCAATGTTTTGATATACTATTTACTGGCTATTTAATTGTTTAATAAATTGGATAAAATTAATTACAGACAAGTAAAGCTGAATGCACCAACCCATGTGACACAGAAGGGCCTGATATGCATTGTGATCCTAATGCACATTGCCTTCTTATCCAGGAGACAAGTGATTTCAAATGTGAATGTAAGCCAGGATATAATGGAACAGGAATAGTTTGTACAGGTAATAATACACATTTCCAAAAGGAAACATGATCACAATTTTACACTGAATAAAATAAAATAAAAGTACATATAACAAAATGAAATATACAAGTACAAATAGCAACTTTCTTATTTGCAGATGTTTGTACTGGATACTGTGACAATGAAGGAGTGTGTGTCAAGGATAGTCGAGGACAACCGTCTTGTCGTTGTATTGGTAGCTTCACTGGCAAGCATTGTACGGAAAAATCAGAATTTGCATACATAGCTGGAGGCATTGCAGGAGCAGTTATATTCATTATACTGATCGTATTATTAGTATGGATGATATGTGTTAGGTTAGTCTGATTTTATATTTGATAATATAATAATTTTTATACCTAAATGCAAATGCTCATGTTTATGTATGTAATTTGTAGATCGGCTCGCAAGAAGGAACCAAAGAAGATCTTGTCTGCAGCAACAGAACAAAATGGATCACAAGTTAATTTCTATTACGGAGCACCCACTCCATATGCAGAATCAATTGCACCATCTCACCATTCAACATATGCTCATTATTATGATGATGAAGAAGATGGCTGGGAAATGCCAAATTTCTACAATGAAACATACATGAAAGGTAAAGTGCTAGTATTTTTTCTTTGGTACTAGGGTTACTACAGAAGTATAACTAATAAATTATTAAAAAGAAGTAAGCATACCTAAAATAACAACAACAATAAAATTATTGATTTCTTCAATGATCTTGCAATATATTCATAATGTAATAAATGTCTGCATTGTTTAAATATTTTGGTCATATATCTGATTGATTTTGTAAACATTTGAACATTTGAAGGAGATAAAACAATAAGGAGGCCAAGAATAAATGAAGAAGCATGAAATGATTCTTATTGCAGTTCTTAATCACATTTCAACTTGTTAACGCCCAGATTTTTTAAATACAATTTTCTGAAAATTGAAATCTCATTAGAGATACCTGTTCAAAATCTCTCTGGAACCCATATTATCATGGTTTTATACAATGATATACTATTGCTCATCCTTATATGAGGGCATTGGGTGTTAAGAGTTATAATTTATTAGAAATGGAGTAGATGGTGATTAGGAAAATGCAAAGCCTTTGTAAAGAACTTCTTTTAATATCTTGAATTAATTAAATGAATGTACAAATAATCTCTAGGATTTAAAATACTTCTTGCAGAATGTTCTGATCTACAGAATGTACTCAACTTCAGAATGGTCTAAACACTCCAACAAACATGTTACTTGTTTTTCTCTACTTGTTATGACAGGCCCCTAGCCTTCAAAATGCAATTAGGTTATCAATCTTAAGATTCAGGTAATTCAGAGGATCAATTTCAGGCAATAATATTGGAGGTGTAGGACAGGTTTGAAAATAAATTTGAATTTTGCTAATTTCAAAACGTTGTAATGAAAATTACGTTGTAATGAAAATTAGTCCATTTTTATAAATGCACTTTCTTTTATTACAGCAAAATAAAAAATGAAAAATGCAGCCATTTTCCAGAAAAATTTCCTTTATGAAATATTCAATGTTATTCCACAAATTAGAAAATGTAAATTCCTTATCTCACACCGATATTATCGGAAAACGTACAAAATCACCATATATAATTTAAAAAACACAAGAAATTGTGCATTATCAAATGAGGATGATGGGTGTTAATAAGTTAAATATCTTATTTATCACTGTTTTATCACTTATTTCAAAAAATATAATCAAATAAACAATGATAATGAGTAGGTTTTAAAAGTTAAGGGGAAAGCTCAAATGTAGTCATCATGGGTTTGTGATAAGAATAAAAGTTTTCCACCCACACTGCAACCATCTACAATGCAAAAAAAATATAACATAAAAAATAAACTTGCTTGTAATTACAAATAGTCAAAAGAAATATATAAGCAATTGAATTACATTAACAATAACTTAAAGAAATATTTAACTATTAGCTGGAATGAATTAAGCAGTATGAAACTGTTATGAAGTGCATTAATGTGATATAAATGAAATATTTCATGTAAAATAATTTGAATAATTGACTGAAATTTTTAAACTTGAAATATAAAACTGAAATAAAGAGGAAATGAAATATTTTACATAAATTAAACGCCTAGAAAAATTGATACAAATTACTTGAAATAATTTATATTTGACAATAACCACCAAGAATTTGTCTAAATTATTAATAATTTCAATTACTTCTTATATTGGTCTTACTTTTAATACTCAAACATTTTATGCTAATTATTTAAGTTTTCAACATTAAATATTTTATTCACTTCATTTCAATTTCATATTCCTTTATTCTTTCAGCTAATAGTCAAACATATCTTAATGTTACTATTAATTAAATTTATTGCTTATCTATTTCTTTTTGCCACATTTGTAATTACAGTTCTGGTAAAAAGAAACATTAAGTGTTCTTATTTATGTATTGTAGCACTGAAAATTACCACAGTGCAGAGAAAAAATGAGTTATACACTAATAAATATGTGGAGACTGCATTAGAACTTGCTATTGATGAGAGAGCATTGTAAAACATAAATCACTTGCGATTTTTAAAAATGTCTTGTATATTTTTCAGAGAGTCTTCATAATGGAGGGAAAATGAACAGTCTTGCTCGTTCTAATGCTAGCATTTACGGAAATAAAGATGATTTGTATGATCGTTTGAAACGCCATGCTTATCCAGGAAAGAAAGGTATTTACAAAGCATCTGTTTTAGATTTCACATCTGTTTCATAAAGTTTGAACCTGAACTGTATAAATATGTATTCAGGCCACTGAGATGAATCATTTGATTTCTTCCAGATAAAAGTGACAGTGACAGTGAAGGCCAGTGAGATTTCTGTGCAGAACTTACACAAAAAGAAAATCTTTCTGGTCACTAATAATGCTCAACCTTTACACAAGTGGTACTTGTGAATATTTTAAAAAATAATTATCTCCTGTGACTGTTAATGAAGGCTGATTGCTGACACAGAGGGTTGATATTATTTTGTCTGATCAGTGTTAAGTGTGCAGTGTAGTGATTTCAGTGCGCCAGAACTTTAAACCCTGTCTTAGCAACCAGGCAATAAAATAAGGAGATAAATTACACTACAAGGATTTTTATGACATACTTCCATACAATAATGTGAAACTGAAAAACTGTTTTTTACTGCATTTTATATTTTTGAGATATGAGGATATCTTGGATATGATCAGCATGTAATTTAAATGTGAGCGTTCCATAAAAATGAATGAATGAGTGTGTGAATGACTGTATAGTTATGAAGAGCAGAGTAAAAATTACATGTATAATTATAAAAAATGTATGTCTGGCTCTTGGTACACAGATACACAAACAAATGATAACTCAAAATCTATGACCAGTATATACAGTATTTATATTAAAAATCACAAACAAATGATTTGCACAATGACATGTCCACTATTATTATAATTATGACTTCCCTGTAAAATAATTGAAACTTACCACAACAAACGGTAATATCAGTGGCTCTTCACCAGAGGCAACTTTATATGAAGTGGCATATACAGCCTAGAATGACAATTGAATTTCACTCAATGTGAAATTTCATTTTAATATTTTTCTTGAATAAAGATTTATGATGAACAAAGTAAAATTGGTAATATTAGATATCAGAAAAGGACAAGTGTAAATATTAACTAAAACTGGTCACATGATTTTCATACGTAAATGCAAAAGTCCCTGAAACCCAAAGAAAGAACTATCAGGTAGCAAATCTCATACCAATGTTCTTTGCTAAGTGCAAGAAAGATGACTTGCATTTATACTAGTGCCACTCATCTCTTGCATTATAGATAGTGCTTGTAGAGATCTGGTAATTTGAAACTTGCAAAGAAGTCTAAGAAAATTATTATTCAGCCAATCCAATGACAACTGGGAAACAATGTAATTGTAATAAGTAGTGTTTCATTAATTAACATATTGTCTTTTGTCTTGCTCATGGAAAGTCATTGGCTTGAAGACTTCTGTAAAAATAACTGTTATGAAATTGGAAGACATATTTTATTTCTCTTATTATGATATGTGTAATAATGACTGTAAACAAATTTCTGTGCATATTCATCTATTTTGTAAATAAAGTACATAATTACCACTGACAAATTGATGACTTGGAATTATATTCACAGCAGAAGCAGCAGGGCATAGATAGTAAGCAATACACAATATAATTTAAAGAAAAAGCTAAAAGAATTTAGAAAAGAAAATACCATGTATTCATTTATTTTACAAATATATTTCAAGGGCTCAAGGGTAGGGATGACAACCCTAGCTTTTGAATATTGTAGCTTTTTTTTATTCTATACTTTAACCTGTTGATGTGAAGTTACTTATGCCACCTACTTCTGCACCTGCTGGGAGGAGGACAAATGACTGATTACATGAACAAAAACACTTGGAATTTTATGATAAATTTAATGAAAATGATGATGAGCAAGTGATGTAATGAATAGTTACATGAAACTTGGCAGATAAGCAACCTTAATAACAACAGAAAAAATGATCGGAGGCTGGCTGCCAGGATGACACAGATTCTAATGGCCATCTCCCTTTTTGGTATTTGGTGTCCCATATTTCTCAGCGAGGGAGATTAGCTAAAAGGGACCCGACTAACGTCTAGAGATAATGTTCCTTGGTGCACTCGTATAGCCGTCTCGCATCGGGCGTTCTCCAGGCCACAGCGGCCGGTTGGCGGCTTTGGGCTGCTGGGGACGGCTCCGAAGACATTCGCGCCGTCACCCCAGGCGGGCAATGAACAACTCGCGACCTCAGGCCCGTGTCACGTCGTCCCGGCTTCCACCCACCCACGAGCACGGCGGTGTCCCGAGAGCATTACGCGGCGATAGTTAGCGCATAATGTCCCGCGTCCATCACTGTTCCGCTCCGCGAAACTCTTGATAGTGAGGTGCGAGCATCTGTTCGACTCGATATGCCATTTTGTCGGTTGCGTACTCACAAAGGTTGATCTTTTTCCTCGGAGAAACGGGATCTACCCGCGTCTAGGGAGCCGAAAACTCTTCCCCCAGAACGGAAACATATGTGAGAACGGTGACGTATCTTCTACGAGAGCGAAAATATGCCTCTCAACCGAAACATTTCCTTCTGGTAGTGAAAGTGTCTCTCCTGGGAGTGGAACCGTATTTGATCTTGTAGCTCTGCCCTACGAATCAAAACGGCTCGTATCCCCTCATTCTAAGCCACTACAGATTCCTGATTGCTTTTAAAACTTAGAGAGCATGAGCTCGCAGAAATCGATACGCTCGCAATATTGTTTTTTAAACTGCCTTTACAGTTTGACAGGGCGACCAATGTTTCCCGCATGAGCGCATGGGACCGCCCCTTGCCCTGCGGACTCCGAAAGGGCTCGTGGCGGCTTCCTTGAAACAGGGTTGTTTAAAAATGGAGGTGCGTCGGCGGCCTTAGAGCGCCTTCCCACGTCGCCGCGCTTCCTTCAAGCAGCAGAGCCCTTCCGACGCAGCCACCGACGCCGCCACCGCCGCTGTCACGGCCGCACCGCCGTGGAAGGGGGTGTGGTCTGCAGAGGTATGTTTCGCCGACCCTCCGGCGATGACGAACAAAGGAACCGAAGCAGGTAAACTGCTGCGACCGTTGGCACAGTGGGAAGGCTCCCATTTAAAGCTGTGTACTGCTAGCCGTGGCGCGTATGCCCTCCGCATCGCGTGGCTGGAGTTCGGCGTCTGCTGCCGCTGCAGCGGCCACGCGCTGCACGTGGGAAGGCCTCCATTCAAACCAATGCTCTGCTACGAGCTGCGCTGCTCGGAAGCGTACCGCCGTCGCGACGTGGGAAGGGGCCCTTAGGGTTCTTTCGCAAAACAGTTGTGACCGGGTTCATCGTCAACTCCTACAACGGGGTGGGTCGTGCAAAGACGGAGCGACCGCAGCGGCCTAGCTGTTACTCCGACCACGTATAGTCTTCGGAGCGTGGGTCTCCGCCGCCGACCCTCGAAGAACCGGGTGCTGGCTCGACTCGCGCGCCAGCACAGAGTTCTGACCTATTGCGAGTCGATGCTCCACCCTCTTCTTTGCTCTCACAAAGGCAGCACTACCGTAGACGACGTGTGAGTGATCGAAGGACAGTACCGAGCCCGTGGTCCTGTGTGACGCGCATACGTATGGGGGGCCACGGACGCGTCACCACCCGCGCGCCTTAAGGTGAAGTTACCGCGGCCAGAGGCGATATGAAAATTACAGCCCCCTTTAAGATATTGAGTGTTGCAATAATACTTTTAGGCCTCTGCCATTTGCTTTTTGTCCTGAGGAACATGAACTGTACAATTGATTGCTCATAACTAGGACTCGAATTCTGATTACATGTCATCTTTTCATTGGTGCATTCTAGACGTGAGTAACTTCTAAATGAAAGTTTATCATGACAAATAGGTGATAGAAATGCATAGTCATTGGGTCATTTTTTGCCATTTTTATACATTTTGTTTCCTTTTCGTGTTTTTTGTTAGTGAATGTTTCATGAATTTACAATGACACACTAAATTTTATTGAATCATCAGTTCATGACGAATTTCAAACTCAAAATTACAAGAATCTTCGGTAACTTCCTTGACCTTTCAAAACTGCCAGTTGGAAGATCAGAGCTAAGAATTAAATTTCCTCCTAAAATAAAGAATTTAAATTAAATATAATTTTATATAAATAAGTTTGATTTAAAATTGTAAAATTCATTCAATCAATAAAACTTTTCATATACATTTTTGAGTATTTTTCAAAACAATGTCATTTTCTCAGAATTTTCAAATCATTTTTTTCTTATTTTGTTGTTGTTTTTAAGGTCATTTTCAAAGAATTTTTAGGTCATCAGAATCGGAGCCCTGCTCGTACTGTTGGCCATAGGTTGTCATTTTTATGTAATCCTCATCAATCAAATTGGTCACTTGCTTATTCTTGAAAGCATTTCCTTTTTTATTATCATGTTTTACATCCGAACCCTTCATTCAATTTACATAATTACATTTGTGATAGCTTGTTTACAGAGCGATATTCTTTATGACAAACTTGGATAGGATATTATTTTTGGATGTTATGAGACTGGGGAAGGAGGGATGTAAGTCTGCAATGATGAAGGAGCATGTTCATCATCGCAGCTAGAAATATAGTGCTCATTGCTTCCCTCCTCCATCACTTACCATACAATACAATGGACATTCTAACTTCTCCTCTAATTATACTTTATTTGTAAAATAATTAGGTTACTTAATACTTTTTGTAAAATTATTTTGCTTAACTTTGGGACTTATTTTTAAAAAAGTTAAAGTGGTTAGTAGAATTCCACTTGTAATTGATATGGATCATAAAAATCTTCCAGTTGATCAAGAAGAAATAGCAAACATCCACAAACACTTAAGTCTCTAATCTATTGCCTCTGTAACTCTATCTTAGAGCAAAAAAAAAAAAACAACAAACAAACAGGGAGTATTCTTTATAAAAGCATATATTTAAATGGATTAGGCAATAAACAATAAATGTATAATTTAAAAATATAATTCATTTAATAGATCTTCCTTCCACATACATTGTGCAAATATATTTTTGTGCCTTGTTCAGTTATAGAATAAGTACAATAAATTGTCCACTTGATTCATTTCTCACTTAGTATTGAGTTTAAGATTTGCAAAAACCTTATTACAGCGAAGTTGCAAGCTGAGATCGAGAACAAAATTAGTAATATAACTCTCTTTTTCAGCTTTCTTTGAATCAAACACCACTACAAGTGTAACTCTGGGATCTATACTTGACATTACATATGTATTTTGATCCTGGAAATTGATTACAAAATAAATTAATAAATTCACAAAAATATTCTCAGTCATTCATAAACATTTCAAAATCTTACTCGAGGACTGAAATAGAAGACAACTCTATCAACAGCTGCCAGTTCTGATGCTCTTTCTGTAATGACTTTGACAATGTTTGGCATATGGCTTTGTGCTTTCTGGAAATCAAAAAGACAGATTAGAAAGAAAGACTTAAGTGATTATACAAAATTGCTCAAACTTCATTATTAAATCATAAATTTCTTTTAAGAAAAAATATTCACATGGAACTTACTACAGGATAACTAAACATAATGGAATAACAATCTAGATCTTGAAGAGGCTCAACTGGCTTTTGAGGGTGGTGGTAACCAGGCCCAGCAAAGTCTTCTAACTGATGAGCATCAAAAACCAGCATAACAGCAGTTGCATCATAACGTCGCTGAAAGCTTTGTATTCTGGATCGTTTAAATTTATAGGAGAAAAATATTAAAATACACAGCAAAATTATTTGGATTTAAAGAATTTAAACATGAACATTTGTGTCTCTTTCTACGTTTCATTTTATCATATACCATTTATCAATATATTTTCATGCGATTAGGTTAGAAAACAAGCTTTTCTGATTTATTAACTGAAATGCACATTAATGTAAATATACATTGGTTAGTAGTAAAATCTAGAAGATAAGAACATTGAGTAGAAATCTTACTTGTGGTAATAATCTGATGACTGTCTGCTGTAGAGGTTTTTCATTTCTTGTAAAGGTGTTTGTTGAGCCAAAGTTGTAAAAAAGTATAAAGAGAATTTTGAAACAAATGCTGCTTTTAATTTTAAAAGCCATTGAAATAAAGCAGGTAACTGACTAGATTTTAAAAATGGAGCTAATTTCCAGGACTAAAAAGGAATACAAAACAACAATATTTTGGCACCACATTGAAAAATCAATAAAATTGAAATGTATATTTAGCCATAAAACTAATCATACATCCTTGCTATGAAGAGTTCTTTCCCAAGCAGTTATTCTTGTATGAGCTCCATGAAGCTGCATTAATGATTGCAAAAACCGCCACAACTGCATCTCTAACTGTGCTCGCAAAAGATGAGCAAGAATTTCACATTCTAAGCTGTAAATAAAATAAACAGACTGATCAGATTTGGTTCTCTCATGTATTCCTTCATTCAAACAATTTTCCTCAAACAATGAAAATAAGTGGAAAAATTATGAGTATTACATACCTTAGCGCAGCTTTGATTGATGTTAAAACCATATGTGGAAATGATAATGCATGTTTATCCACTATATCTTCAATTTGCACAAGTAACTCTTCATATTTCATTTGTTTCCCTGTCCCCATCAAATGCATTTTTTCATAACTTTTTTTTAACATTAAGAATTCTAACACTATTCTTGCCTAAGAATAATATTCTAGGAGGGTAAGATATTTCAACAAATATCTTTTTGTTTTGTTTTAATATTTTCCTTTGAACTTTTCCCCAATGTGTGAGCTTTAAAACAGTCATAATAAAAATGAAATACAATGAATACCTTGCTTGAAGTGCCTCTTTTATCGCCAGTAATTCTAATATTTGACATTCCAATCACTTTAAAAGCATTAAACAATTTCCTACACCAAACAATATATCACAGCTGAACACTACAACTTCTTGAATGTGAATTGGATACCCAGGTATCATTGTTGCTGAGCAGTTAGCCCATTTTCTTGCAGATTTAGTTCCTTTATCACATTTTACAGTTTTAAGATTTCAATCATCTCTAAACCCTAGAAATTTCAGAAAATACCTTATTATTGTAACAATTTTAAGCCTTTTAATGACTTATTATTGGAAACTACTGGAATTGGAATTAACAGAATTGCTTAACTATGCCCCTGGAAGATTATTACTTCGATTCCTTTTGCCTAATTTAGATCCTTATCCCCATTTTAAATATTTCACCTTTCCTTCCTTTTTCGTCATTTCTTTCCTTTTTTTTCATTGCACCAGAATCAATTATTTGCAAGACTGGATAACACACAAGCACAGCTGCATTTTGATTATGTCTGCAAGAAAGTGTGCCAAGCTCTACTTATTACATTTTAAAAATTGTACAGAGGAGTGCCACTGCCTCTGGGAAAAGGAAACTAAATTACATGTTGATGCAAAATTTTATGAGTAAGCAAAAGCCTTTGACACAATATGTCATAAGACCTTGATATTTAAGTTGGAGTCCATTAGGTTTTCCTCCTTTGCTGCAACACTACGCCAATCATTTTTTTTTTCAGAAAACGTGGCGGTGGAATACCTTAAGGATCAATGTTGAGCCCCTTTCTATTTATCATACATGATCATAAATGATTTACCAAAAAACACTGTATTAATGACCGTGATATTTTGAAAGAATGCAGATGATATTCAAGTCTGTTATAATTTATCCACCAGTTGTTTAATGGATAGATTAATTCACCCTCTTTAATTTATCTTCGCCTCATTAAAACTGAAAACTGGCACTATACAAACAGCTTGTCCCTAAATTTTAGCATATCATAGGAGCTGATCATCTTCTACAGCACACTTTTCCCCCCATTGAATTTCATTTATTTCCTAGAGTTGAACCAATTAATTTTTCTTGGAATATGTATTCAAGGTAACAAATATTGTAGTTGCAAATTAACAGGATTCTATCCAAGGTTGCCTGTGGAGTGTTCATTACAAATACTTCAGCACACAGTACTATCTAAAGAAATCACTCTTTGCTTATTATGAATATTTTAACTTGTATTTAACATACAGAACAATTATCACAGGAAATAATTGGCACTCCAAGTTCCTTTTTTGCAGCACAAAAGCAGGCAGCCTAACTCATTGACTAAGCGTATGTCAGATGCGTGACCCAGAAGTGTGCTTAGATGTACATACTTCTAAAAACATGCAAAAAACAATAAATTTAAATAATCAACCACTCTTGCTATTATCTCATATTTTATGAGTTAATAAAACAAAATTCAACAAAATTTCATGAGCTATTTCGGAAAAGCTTTGAGACAAGAGTCTCATCAAGCTCTCAATCAAGCAAATAGGTTTCTACACTCTAATAATGTCTTCATTTGCAAAACCAGACAAACTATGTTTAAACACAATTATAAGGATACAAATCAATAAGTTCAATTCGAGCAGTTAAAAACTGACATAACTGACTAGCAACCGTCATTATGGTACGATCACCAGTACTTTGTCTTGTAACATCTTCCAACCGTCGAAAGTCTCCTCGTAAAATATCATACATAGACCTAAGGGAATTCTGAAAAACATATGAACAGGTTAACAAATTGTGAAAATTATACTTCTGTATTCAAATTGTTGAAAATTGAATTACATCTTTTCTTAAGAATCCTTTGTTCTTTGTGACCAAGAATCCAAGATCAACATAAGATTTTTCAGCAACAGCAATTTGGGGCAAATGTGCTAACAGCATAGCCCATGGATCACCTTGGGCCAAACGCAGAGATTCCCTTTCACGTTCCTGCACAACAGACAAAATGGTTCAATTGTGTCCAACTGGGAAAAGGTAAAGGAAAAGAAACCCAAGAAATAAACCCATACCACTATTTCTTTTGCTTTATCAAAGTTCAGTTGAGATACATGATTAAAAAACACATTAAGAAATTCTTCCTCGTGATCCATCATTTTGCTTCCCTCTGTTTTGAGAAGTTGATTTCATTCTCTGCTTTACTGCGTTTAGAGATTATACACTTTCCACTTCACATTGTCTGCCTGCACATCCAACCAAATGTCAACATGAATAGTTGTGACTTGCACAGAACACATGATTAGTGAACGATTTGTATGGTTGGTACTACGCTTAACTCAGTCATACAAACAGAGAAATTATTGTAAATATGTCATCACCTCATCAGCATTCAATCCATCAGTTAATGTTGCTAATATAAGTCGGATCACAATAACTGATAAGCTGCACGTCAGATACAGATACGTCTGTGGTATCTGGTAAGCACTGGTCTTGGAATGAGTTCGAAGTTGACACGATTAGTTACCAATTGGTATGGTTGGTTCAAATGTAAAATCAGTCATGCCAATAGAGGTAAAATGTAGATTGTAAATATGTCCAAGAGATATAATCATTGAATATGTCATCAGCATTCAGTCCAACTAGCGCAATCCAGAGTCTATCAGTGAGGGTTTTTACTCGTGTCAGTCGGAGAGAATTATAATGACCATCATAGACAATCAGTAATCTGTGGTGTCAGATCATGGTACACTAGAAATTAATTAACCATGCACTTGACGTAAATCACAGTTCATAGTTTCATCGAATCGAATCAAGAGCTTCAACGTCCCCCATAGTGACACACTGTAGCGAAATATAAGCTCCCGATTAGATGAAACCGCATCATGTGATTTACGTCAAGTGCACGACTAAATAAATCGTATTGTAGCTGCTCGTCAGACACAGATACGCATGATACCACATGATACGTCGTTGACGTCTGGTGAGCGCTGATGTAGGAATGAGTGAATCTGTGTTGTTTGTTTGCTGTAAGACTGTATTAAGACCTGATTAAGACGATTAATAAAAATTAAGATGATTTATGAATGAAAACGAGATGGTCCATAAAAGTTAAGATGATTTATGAAAGAAAAAGAGAATATCAGCAGAACTGAAAATTGGTTAGAGTAATCTGAGTTGGAAAACAAGTGTTATTAACCGCACTATGTACTGTCATGTGTCTGTGTATTCGAAATAACGTGCGTATTCTACGTGATCGTGAACAGAATAAGCGGAAGATTACTTGAGCGAAAATATTGCACAGTGCCTGAAAACATCATTTACTTAACGCTATTGAAATGGAATGTTTTCAGTTTCTTGCATTTATGCAACCCGTGAGCTATCACTAGCGTCTGTGAAAGTTGTAACGTCAGGTTCGGCTCTGGCGTTTATAAAATGCTTGAAAATTGTTGCGTGAAATAATTCTTTTAAATCATTCTATTGTCAGTGTATTTGTAGAACATTTTTAATTGAAGAGACTGTATAAATGTTGTTTGTGATATTGAAGTAATAGAAATTGATTAATAAGGTTGAACATGGCTCGGCAAACTATTTCCTGTGAATGGTTAGCAGATTGTTATTTACTTTCTTGAACTATGATTATGACAGTTGGTTTAAAATTAATATTTCTGTATATTTTAAATTTTTTGTTAGGTCATCAAAACCAAGACATTATCTTCAAGAATGTCAGAAAATTCATTGTGCATCAGAAGAAGTTTTGGACCATCCTTTGAAACCTTTAGTTGTAACGGTGAGGATTTTTGTATCACTTAATAATCGTGAATGAATCATGATTTGTTTAATCTTTTACTTAAATAGTTTATTATTGTGAACATTATTGTATTGTAAATTTCATCTACTTGCTGTGCCTAATAAGGTGATTTTCATTTAAAAAATAAATCAAATATTTACATTCACATTCTTTTCTCCTTACAATTTTCAGGTGAGAATGTGTTTTCTTTTTTTTCCAGTTGAAAATATAATACATTTTCATTTATTTAAGGATCTATTTTATTCATTTTTAGAATAGAAATCATTGGAAAGTTCATATTCAAAGAAATGTGTAATCTATTACTGTCAAAAAATTTGGTACATTTTTCTTAATATTTGTTTAACTTATGTGCATGATGCACAAGTGTTAACGCTTAAAGATGACGTTTGAAAATCAATGAAATTTACTTATAATCTTAATTATCTGAAGTAAGATAGGTTGGATTGGAGACTGCATTGGTTAATCCATGTGAAAACAGATAAACATTTTCTGCAACACAAATTTAGTAGCTGTTGATCCCATCTAAATTCCTATTGACTTTTTTGGGCTTAAGTTGAACAGTGATGGTTGCACTAGGGCATGTCAAAATTATCTGTACCTTTTTGAAGATTTCCCATTTACCACCATGTTTTTGCTTAAAATAAATATTTATTTTTTTCGATACATTGGATTTGATGTTTAAGGGAAATAAGAAAGCTCACATCTTATTTATTATTTCATTGTATTATTTGTTGTTAACTTGATAATCATTCAATCAAGGGTATAGCACCACATAATTTTCAGAATTTTTCCCCCTCAAAATTTTAACTGAATAATGTAAGAAATTACTATAAAATCACAACAAAGGGTACAGAACATTAGTGTGGAAGCTAGTGGTTCTAAGTTATTGGATGCAATATTTGAAGCATAATCAGTTACTAAGTGGATTTAATTTGGAGGAGCTTTTCAATTTTTCATTTATGCATCTCAAAACAGTATATAGTAAAAATTATCATTTTTAAGCCAGATCAGTTTAAGGGAAACAAATTCTTTTCAATATTTGACAATAATTAAATAACATTAATTAAATAACTTATAATTGAACATTATTTTAGCGGATTTTTTTCGGAAGTAATTATTACATTATCTTACAATAATATATTACAGAAATCATTATATGAACTTAGAATAATAAATTACATTTACACTAATTATTCAATTAGCTTATAATAATTGTTAGGATTTAGGCAAATTAAATTGTAACAATTTACAACAAACATTTCATAAATTAATGTTATTGAATACATTACTAATAATTTATGAAATGTTTGTTGTAAATTGGTACAATTTATTTTGCCTAATCCTAACTACTATTATAAGCTAATTGAATAATTAATTTATTATTCTAAATTTAATTATTTTTTTAAGTTCACATAATGATTTCTGATTTGTAATCTTGCAAATCAATGATTAAATCGTGATAACTATTGAAAGTCTTGTTATCTATTGCTGTTTACTGAAAGTTTTCTTAGATTAAAAGTTAGTTAAAATGTTGTGCAGCAATGCAGTATGGATCATTCATGGTGGAGGACTTACTCCCTTTGGTAAACCCTATGTCCTCAAGTATGATATAAATCTTTGTTACTCACCAAATAACAATTGATTGTGTATTAATAATAGTAATAATTTGTAAAGGTAGATTTCAAATTTAATGAATGAGCTTAATCTTTACAAGGCTGTCTTAGTTTAAGTTTGATTACCCATCTGAGATACTTTTGTAGAACCATATATTTATCAACATTTTTTGTGGTAAATCCAGGGGTGCCAAGGGGCCAGGAGCAGTAGATCTATTTATTTTTGTCAAAGAACAGTAAAAACTGTAAGTGACATGTAGGGGAGAAGTATAAATCTTTGGGGAAGAGATTCTTGAGCTCAAGAAAATGTGCATGTGTTAAAAACTAGACATTTTCACTCCCAAGTTATAGAAAACTTATGTGCATCAACAAACTACAGATTTTATTTTTTAGTATTACTAACAAAACAGTGACTCATACCTACAGCTGTACTCTTGCTGCAACTAGCAAAAAGAGAGCTGAAAAAAAGTGCACATAGCAAATCTACATATATGTCCAGAAGCCAAAGTAGGGGTCATTTCAGCAGAACGGTTTAGGGAAACTGGACGAAAAACTGATGGAAATGGGATCCAAGGGGTCCAAATGAGAGGATGAAGATCCAAGGGGGGCCTTATTTTAAACACAAGTTCTCCCCATTCCCACTAAAAGAATCTCCAAGAAACAGTAGTATCTTACAGCAGTTCATTTTAATTAGAAATAAATACATTTTTATTTGTTTAGAATGGAAAAATATCAGTGCCTGGGGCAAGTTGCCCCAGCTGCCCCCACCCCTGGTTTTACCTCATAATTCAATATCGTACTGTAGATGAAGTGAATTGTGCCACAATGAAAAGTGCACAAGTTCTGATGAATCAGGTTAAGTATGGAAAACCCTAATACTTGTTAACTCAAATAAACGTCTTCCTAGGTATTTTTATATGCAAACTATGTAATATGTATGATTATATGCAAAATAGTAGATACACAGGGTATTAACTTGATCCAAAGGGACTAGGGAAAATTTTGCTTGTTTTCAATTGAAACAATTCCATTGTATTTAGACAAGAATTAGACAAAAGGTAAAACAATATCATTTATTAATATATTTATGTTCTTTTTTTTAGTGTATGTCGAGATGACGAATATTTTATGCTTATCTTTACATGTATGCATTGTTTTTCCATGTGAATTAGGTAACTGAGAGTCGAGTGGTGAGAAGAGCTTTTGGTGGGAGTACTACTAGTAGTACAGGATCATCCACACCCACTCCAACTTTGGATCCTCTTGGTGTTACATTAGATGGCAGTGATCCTCTGAGTCAATTTGCTTGTCAAGAAATGGACCCTCTCTCTAAAATGGCTGCTGATTCCGTAAGACATTATTAAATTCATCTTTGTATGTTTAATTGGAGGAAAAAGCGCTAAAATATACCAACATCATTAGTGAGAAACATAAAGGCAATGTCTTATGGCTTCAACATTCCAGAGGTTACAGGTTTGATCTCGGCAAGGAGCCAGGAATTTATTTGGTATGATTAACATCAGGGTTCCCAGAATCGAATCCGTAGACTGACTGCTGTGATCAGTTTTCCTAAACACTTTCAGGTGGAAGACAGAGCAGCACATTAGAATATGGCCACAGACCACGAGCAATTCTTCCTTCCTCATCCTGAATTCATTCCCATCCTTCAGACTGAGTGATTGGTCTATCAACCATTGTCATATAGCTCGTCTGATAGATTCAGAAAATCTCCAAGTGATGGATATTTGAAAGCATCTAGCTGTGAGTCCCCCAAGGCACGAAATGAGCACGAAATGTGGTAAAAAGAACAATAATAATATTGATTTACCATTTCATGTTTCCTGGCACATTAAATGTTATGTCATTTGTGCTGTAAGTGTAGTCAACATTTTTTATCCCAGGAGGCGGCGTTGATCTCCCCCCACTGGTTACTGAATTCTGTTACCGACCTAAACATCGGCTTGCAAGGGGGTTTTCTCAACCAGGTATCTCCCATCAGTGGGGCACTGCCCCAGCTGGGACAAGCTGGGACTCTGGCATATATGATAGTGTAGTGCATGTAAGTAAGGGGTGAGGATAGGACAAGGAAGAGGAAGGAAAGATCATGCACAGTCCTGCAGACACATTTGTTAGCCCATTTGACAGATCATGTACAGCCCATTTGTTAGACTCTGCTCCAGCCTGGTTTTGATAAGAAACCATGGGAAACTACTGATCAGAGCAGCCAGCTGCACATCAATTGATGCTGTGAGCCACTTAAACCAGTTTTATTGAATGGCATTTACATGCTTGGGAAATCACTTGAATATGTTTAACAATCCACTTATAAAACTTCTTTGCCTTCTGTGACCTTGACAATTATTTATTGGAATTAATGCATGCTAAATTTATGTTAATTACTTAGTAAATAACTGAAATTAGACTTTTCTGCCATAAGCATGAAATAGTACAGTGTTGTTGACCTTTGTATTTTCATCTGTAACAGTTTTCATTGAGATTTGTTTTTTCAGTGGGATGGTATACCCAACAGTAAAAGAGGCATTGATACTACTGAAGATATTGTTGAACCATGGTCTGCCAGAAAATCTGGTATTTTAAGTAAATTTACTACCTCTGAAAAACTTTCCATTGTAACAAGCTTTTTATCTGGTGGAGAAAAAGGTGTGATTTTTGTAGTATTTTTTTGGTTATTATTCCAGTATTTATTTATTATTTATGCTCACTTTACAAAAACTTCCTATGTGAAAATGATTAGATGGCACTTATTTTTATTTTCAGTTGTTGTTAAAGCACAGTCATCAGTAGTAGATAAAGTTAAAAATAGGTTAGAACAACTTGATGATTTTGAAGAAGGTTCTGTCCGACAGATGTTAGATTTATCTCAACAGGAATATATGGGTAGAATTGAACAATTGAATCAAGAACTGGTCCAAGCATGGCATCATGATCAACGAGTTAAAGCACTAAAAATTGCAATTCAGGTATGCTTTAGAATTGATTTCAAGAATATCTTATTGCTGCTTGTTTTACTATATTTTTATTTGAGGCTTCTTCTCACGTTAAACGAGATTTTTGATAATATCTAAAGAGTTAAAATGTGTTAGTTGTTTTTTCTGCTTAATTATTATATCTTTAGTTTTATTGACGTGTTTCAATGTTGGGTTCTTTGACCTCCTCTCAAACTGTTTCCTAAGAAAGGCTGTCTGGAGGGATAGCAAATTGACTCTTAACATCCCAGTCAGTTGAATTTTTCTTGTTTGTAAATAAAACCTTGTTTTAATATTGTGTGTTCTATTTTGTAATAATTTTAATTATAGTTTTACAAATTATTTCTATTAAAATTGTTTCTAATTAAAGTTATTATTGTTGTTAAAGGTGCATTTTCTTGTTAGAAATCAATTTTATTTAATAATTTTATTTACATTAAATTTTGTATGTATGCCCCCAAAACAAATAATTATTATAAATTCGAAAATAAAATAAACATACATATTAAATGTGAATGTAAATAAATACATAATACCATTAGCATTGCCCCAGCTGATCTGCACTCTAGCTATGTCACTGACTCTTTGATTTCATTTGATTTGGTACTTGGCATTTTAATTTTTTCTGTAAAAGTATATTATTAATATATTTGTTTATGTTAATTCTTCAGTGCTCCAAGTTACTGGTGGATACTTCAGTAATTCAGTTTTACCCCAGTAAATTTGTCCTTATCACAGACATTTTGGATATATTTGGAAAATTGGTTTATGAAAGATTAAGGACTAAAGCTGAGTATTATGTGTAAGTATTATTTATATCAATTAGGGGATAAAAATTAAGAATTATGTTTACTATTTCAGAAGATTTATTTGTATTGTGAGTTATTTCAATTCAAGGGGCTTAGATGTGATGTGCCTCTCTTGGAAGCTCAGAGACCTCAGTATATTACCAGGGAGGATGGTTACTTTGGATTACTGGGTGACTTATTATTTGGAATGGGTATGGAAAATGATATTTATATTTCAAATTATGTACTTGTATCTATTGTATATTAATTTCTCTTTGTCAAACTGCTTGCACTCTTGAAAAGAATGCTCTTTTGATATGGAAATTTTGAGAAAATTTTGTTTAACAATTTCTGAAGATGCACAAATTTCATTTACACTAATACATATTTACAATTGAGATATTGATAAACTTCATAAATTGTAATTTGTGGCTTAAATGTATTAATGTATAAAATATATCTCTAGTGTAATTATGAACTTGTAAGATGTTAAAAGAAAAAACTTTTGACTAATTTTTGAAAAATAAAAAAAATTAATGAAGAGGGAGCTTATGTTATGTGATTTAATGCATTGTTCTCTAACTGTACAAAAAGATTAAAGCAAAACTTGAAGACATTTTTGCAATAATTAAGGTTCAGTATTTTTGGAAAATTGATATAATTTAATTTAAAATTATACTTGTCACTAATATTTTGATGAACCTGAACATATCATTAAAAATCCCAATATTGAAGGATCAATTGTGTTAAAGGAAACTCATAGATTCAATAATGAACTTGAGTGGACTGGTGGTAATAGGGTTGAAAAATGGTGAACTTCTACATTTTCAAAATTTCAGAGGTTTTAATGAAAACAGGACTTTTACCATGATTATGAGTTTCTGTTTTCTATTCTAGAAACGTTAAATGTTTTGTGTAATTTTTAAGAAAATGTGAATATATCCTACAACGTTCTTATAATGTCCTCCAAAATTTTACATATCAGTTTCAAATTTGTAGGGTCTTGTGATCTGCCCCATTCATCAGAGAAAACCCATCTTGAAAGAAGTCCTATGTATGGTTTAGGCACTAGTGTTTCTGATGCACAGACAATTGGAAGAAGAAAGAAAAAATAAAACTATTTTGGTTGCATGTACCTCCAAAATGTGTATTTCTGTCAAAATTTCAACATTGATTTTTCACAGCATTACATTACTTTCTCTTCACTATGTAGATGAAGTAAAAAAAAAATTTTTTTTGGAACCCACTAGGGAGTTATAAAATGTGAATTTTTGTCAAAATCGTGGCATCAATTTTTTTTAACAGTATAACTGACTTTCCTGTACCTCATACAGTAGAGAAATGAATTTATCTACATATTTCACATGTAGAACAATCAAAAATTTATATTGAAGTGAAGTCAGGAGACATTCTATCCCTTTTGTTACTTAACAGTTGTGTTTTTATAATATAATTGCTTTCAATGTTATTTTGAGTTAAATCGTGAAAATTTTCCTAAAAAGATTTCTCTGAGACTACCTTAATTTTTTTCTGGATACTTGTGTAAGAATACTCCACAAAATGAGAAATTATTTGTCGGAAGTGCAATTTTCATTGAAAGTTTTGAGTTTTCAAAAATTAAACATTCATAATTTGACATCTTGCATTGATGTATTTTATGGTCTAAAGTATTTGTTAACACAAGTGTTTCAAATAATCTCTTATTAAGTTTCTCTATCTAAAATGTTTCTGAATTAAATTATTTGTTTTCCTTTATAGATATTAGGAGTCATTGATAAAAGTGTCTGGTGGTTGAGGGTCTTTGTTGCAGCCTCCCCAAGTAGGACAAAGAATGAGGCAAATTTTTTCTTTCAGTTTTTGCTCAAATGGTGCTTATTATGCTTGTAAATATGTCTTAAGTGTGATTTTTCATGGGAACATCTGAAATTTGTGCAAATTACAATATAGTATCACTCACACATTTTGCCAAAGAGAGTTTTTCAAAAAGGAATAGGTTACAAGTTGCTATATTATAATATTACTTAGCCATTAAAAGTAATACAAGAGAATATATGTTGTTATAGAAATAATTTTCATTGTACTGGGTATTGGCATGTTTAAGTGTCAAATTGTACTGTATTTTAAAGGGTATTATATTTCAAATAAATGGTATTATAATTAAACATGAGAAGCTGTTAATGTAGAGAAATTAATTTGGAACCTAGTACATGGCTCTGCTCATCCAAAATCAATGATGGTTACCTGATGTACTTTTCTAAAACTATACTCAACAGGGTATGTCATGTACACATTAAGTGTTTTTTATATAATTTGTCTAAATTCTATTAAACTCGGTAGTAATGCTGACAATAGTATAAATTAGTCACCTTTATAATATATTAGAGGTGTTGTGTCTACGAGAATATAAACTGTTAATTTGAAAATTGTTTTGTCGAAATCTTATTGGCATTTCTTGAATATTACACGTGTTGAAATTCTCATTAATGTATTTTAATTTGTCTTCATTTTTTCATCAAATTTACTTCAATTTTTCAACCTATATATGAATGAATTTGTGGGGGATACATATGAATATTGCAGAGCAAGTATGTTCCAGAGCGAGCAAGTTGCATTGTACCTTATTTTTATGTTTCCTATTATCTTGGCATTCTATATCTTCCTTAGTCATCAATGATCTCATATCCGATTTCCTTCTTTGTTGGACTCTAAATTTTCTTCCTTGCGTTATACTTTTTCCACTTCTCTTGTATTCACTACACTACTCTTTTGATTGAGGTTATTATATCATTTACTATTGTCAAGATTGATTTTTGTGGAGATTTGTCATATTTTCCTCTATACTTTCATTTGTGATTATTTAAATTTAAGAAAACAGATATGAGTAGAGACTGGAAAAATATGTAATGGGAAATGGCAAAAGATGCACATAAATATGTAATAAAAACTATAAAAATGTTTCAAATATGTAAAAACGGATGTATTATGTAATATTAATATACAATAATTTATAACATTTACAAATAAAATAAATGTATAAATTTGAAACAACATTAATAAAATATTTATTAAACCAATTTTAAAAATAAATATTGCATGTCCTAGTAATTTAATTGTTTTTTAAAAATACATTTGTTTAATCTTTTTGAAGATTGCCATCTTACTACAAATCTGGGAACTCAATGACCACCAAACAATCAGTGTTGCAATGTCTTTGTGCTGCAGCACCTCTCAAACAACCAATATCTCTGGGATTAATGATTAAGAAACACAACCTCACTGATACTTTCCACACCTAACGAGTACTTGGTGCACTTGTCACTCAATGCAGTGCAGACAATTTCACATGGGCAACCTTGAGTCTTCAGCATGCATTTTGGAATATATAAATAAAAAAAGTGCCAATTTATTAATTGCTTTAATGAAATAAATTTCATTAAAATAAGTAAAATAATGAAGTTTTGCAAAATATGTAAAATATAAGCAAAATATGCAATATAGTACAAAATATGTAGCTACAAAGAATTGACCTGATTTACTAAGATCACAATTTTGAGAACTGAACATTGAAGGGCAAAAATATTAATTACATAAAAATCCAGACTCTATGTATGAGAATGGCATTACAATATTTTTGTGTCCCATCCAATAAATCAGTCCATAAATACATATCTGCACTTTTGATTTGAGAAGTTTATGAGTAAGAAACATCTTATAGCATTTTAGCCTCTGTATATTTGCCTTAACAATTAAGAAAGTAATATTGAATCTTATCCTGTTGAATTTTCTCACCATTCGTAATTTTGATGATGCTATATGTTTTAGCCCAGGCAGCAAGACTCCAACAGCTCTTCCTGAAAACTTCACACCTGATATGGTGCCAGAGTCGGCAAAGGAAACATGTCGAAATTGGTTTTATAAAATAGCATCTATTAGGGAATTGGTCCCTCGATTGTATGTGGAAATGGCTATATTGAAGTCCTATAGTTTTCTGACTTCAACGTAAGAATAATTACAATTGAAAATATTTATAAATTTAGAAACTTCTACTTAAAAATATTAATTTAACTTTCAGGGAATTTTCTCAAGCCCTCCTCAGATTGACTCGAATGACTCGTGGTATTGGTGATCCTCTGGTTGCAGTGTATGCCAGATGCTATCTCTGTCGTGTTGGAATGACAGTTGCTACTGCTGACAGAGAATACATAAAAGAAAATTTTTATGACTTTCTTGCAACATATCATCAGGTATCTGTGAAGACCATGCAGTGTATAGTATATAATTTGAATATTTCATTGATAGTCTTATTGCCAAGAAGTGTTACCTAAATCAGCTGAATAATATATATGTGTACGTGTGTATTTACCACATACTCACACCCACACATGCACATGCATCCAGTCGCATTTGAATATGATTAAGTATTAATTAAAATAATTGAATATTCTTCACATCCTTTTTCTTTCTCAGTTACCTAGTACATAGAATCTTAAGAAATGCTCAAAATTAATGTCAAGATTTTGATAGAAATACAAATTTTGGGTGTCCCTGATGCTGGAAAATCTGACTGATGTCATGGCCCCTTAAATTTTATTTACATATTATTATAGTACATTATGTTGTCATTATCTTCATTATATTATTATTGTAAAGGCAGAAGTAATACTATGGAGGAATAATAAACTAGAAGGCAAACATTTTTGTGAATACTTTAAGAGGGAAGCACTGTCATGCAATGGCACTGCTTTAAGCATTCATACTAAAACCCTTCAACTATACATAAATTACATAAATCATCTGTGTACTTGATCAAATGTTCTTCTGACCACATGAACGGTGGGAACTGAAAATCCCTAACTGTTGGAATAAATAAACTGGAATACTTAATTATTGACCCTCAGGATGAGGACTTCCTCACAAAAATGTTGGAGCAGACATATCAAGAGTATGCATTTGAGGGGTTTTGAGAGAATTTTAAAACTAATAACCACTTAAATATATGGTCATTAATTTTGTATTAAATTAAAGCTTACAGATGTTAATCATTACAATGAATAACTAAAATTACTTTGCATGTCCTCAATGTCACCTTTGTGATTTCAATAATTATCTTGTTCAATTGGGAATTAACTAAGTACTTATATTAGTGATACAAGAGTGATCTGTTCTTTTATCACAGAAACAGAATTAAAGCACAAAAATAAATGTCACAAAACAACTAGTATATAACAACAATTTTGTTTCTTATAAAAGTGTCAATGGTCCTGGCAAAAAATGAATTTTGGAAAGTTTACTTTTTTAATCTATAATTCTCAAAAAGAAATTAAATATTGTAATACAGCAACATCTATAATAAGAAATAAAAATATAAGTATAACAATATCTGTAGAAATGTGTATGTAAGCCTCAAAGAATAGGTTCTCAGGAAAAATTAAATGATATATGTGAGGTCGGCAGTCACTAGCATATTACATGAAGGCAAAATCTACAATATTTGTTGATGAGACTTTGAGTATATGGTGCACGTGTGGAGGTTCTTGATGATTTGTCCTTGTAAATTATGAGATGAGCATGAAGATAGAAATTCTGGATGTATTGCTAACACTTAATACTTTAATGCTAAAAATTATAAACTGTAGCAAAAAAATTGGGAATTTGGTCATTGTGATGATTTCTAATTCATAGAAAATTTACGTTTTCTTTTCAGTGCAACATCTCCAATGGAGTTTCCATCTGTGTTGCCCAAATAAGCTTTTGAAAATAAGATTATTTAATGTTAGTATACTAATCCTTGCAAAGATCTCCACTGCAGACCATTATTTATTTTCAAATAGTCTTTGGTTAATTTAAATACATACTTTTTTTTATCCAGCAGCTTTACTATACAATTTAAAATTTTATTTGCTTATATAATTCGTTATATAAATTCAACAACAATGTAATATAATTTACATTCATAGCAATTTCCCTTATTTTTGGGAAAAGATTTTCATGTACTGCAAAGATTTATATGTACAAGATACCTAAATTCAGTAAATTGTTTTTGAGTTTCCATAACATTCTTCAATTTTGCCATTTAATACACTTGCCTTCAATTTCACTAATTAATGACTACACATTTAGGATTGTCTCCACGATAATTTGATTGAATTCTTCATGAAGAGTCTCTGGTACAGCGTTAATTTGTTCAGATGTGCATTGTTGCCTTCCATTGAGCTGTGAATGAATGTCAACCATATTTTGTAATTTTTCAATTGTTGTTTGCAGACCATATTTTTTGATATTGGTTTCAATAGTCTCTGGCAAGTTTGTCTCACTGCTAGATTTCTCTAGTTACATGCATATGGTGGATATTTCACTTTTGAGCGATTTTCATATTTTAGAATTCTTATGTATAGAGCCTGGGAGTTTGGCAAAATGCCTTTTTATTATTGTTACAGTTATAAGACTTTTGATAATAGGAATAATTTTACTGTACTTCTGGAGTTGTTTTAGAAAATTTTTGTTTTTCCTTTTTATGCCTTCCCTTTATTTTTAGAATTTTGCCTTATTCTGTGCTTTGTCATCATTTTCCTTTTTCCCCCTGAACTAATTTTGATCAAGTTGGAAACATTCCTGTCAGACTGGTGGCACATTAAGAAACTGTTGCGTTTTGTCTTTCTCTTCAAAGTTGTGGCATGTTATCAGGCAAGAAAATGTTTTTAAACTGGGCTCATGGACCATGAAGTGTTACAAATTGTTATGAGAAAATAAGGTATTAAATTTTTTTGGATTTCTTTCACTGATATCAGCAGCCTTTGTTTGCCTCAAGGAATCCCATCTTACACAGAGATTTTACTTGCACACATGCACACAGCACCAGCGTCTCCTTAGTACCAGTGGCCACTGGTCACTGGCATAGTCCTCACAAAATAATATTTCCCAGCACACTTTGGTGTGATCCTCTGCCCAGTGAGATAACAGCTCCAGAGCCTCCCAAATCCCATTGATCCTCTCAATTTCATATTTATTCAAATGAATTGAAATGAGTTTTTTGAAAATCTTTTTCAGCTAGTCAACATTGCCATTTTTTTAAATGTCAATATTTATTTTAGCTCTTTACTCCTACCATACGAAGTGAACTTACAAAATTAAAAGTAGATCTATCTACTTACCTTACACTCTATACCCCTGCATTAGATTGGATTTTACATGGAGTTGCTACAAATGCTCCAGAAAAGTTATTGGTAGAAATTCTGGCTCGATGCAAAGAAAAATGCAATAGGTATTAGAATATTCTTTAAAACATTTTAAATATCATTATGCTCTTATAAATATGAAGAAAGTGAGTGACCTGTTAATTATTTTTCAGTGCCCTGCTTTTGAATTCAATAATGGCAGCTTTCAAACCCGTTTACATAGCAAGTAGAGCTTTGCAGTTTATTGAACTCCTTTCTGCTTGTGATGAAGAAGGTAAATTTATAATAAGATATCTATTTTTATGTTTTGACTTTATTTATTCTGTCTCTTTCATTAGTAGTTTTGTTTTGTTGCAGGTTTTCCTCAGTACCTTCTCTTCAGAACTTTAGGTTTGTGTTTGACTCTCGCTGATCCTCCTGCAGATGTTCGTTTACAAGTTCTGAATGATGTGTGGCGCATTGTTACAAAATTAGAGGATCCTGGTCATTATATTAGTTGTGCTGAAGTGTGGATTCAATTTGCTGTGAAACATTTTTCTGTAAGTTTTTTTGTGAATTAAAGAATTGATTACGAATAATTTGTCTCAAGAGCATTGGGATATTATTACAGTTCAAATTGTTCCAAGAATTAGTTGCATCATGTTAGACATTGAGTGGAGAACTTTTTTTCTGATGAAAGTGCCTATATGATAAGGTACACTAGGTGGTAACAATTTATTTCTAGTTGGTAGATACAGTGTAATTCTTCTCTTGCAAATTCTAAATATTTTTTAATTCTGTAAAAAGAAAAGTTCTCTGTAATAATCTCAAAATAGGAAGAAAACATTCCCAGTATGAGAGTAATTGGCAATAATATTTTTGAAAAGAAAGTATCATTTTGCTTGGAGAGGGTATTTTTAATGATTTCAAATTAATTCAATTATCTTTATTTCACAGCTTTTAGTTAACTTTCAAGTGATGTAATGTAGTTTTAAAGTAGAGCTGCTAATTTAAGTATTTGTCTGTTAATTCTTGTAATGTATTTATTTGAAGTTAGTGATAAAAACATTGAATATCATTGATTGTAAAATCAAATTAAATCTAAAATAACTTTTTTTGCAAACTTTCAATTCTTCAATATTTTAGGAAACTTGTCAATAACATGCTAAAGTGTTTAATTCATGTAGTCATTCCATGTAATGGTGTTAGTACATAAGAAGCTTCTAACAAATATATTTGTAATCATTTTGTCATATGAGTACTTATTGTAATATTTCTTACAGTCTCGCGAAGTGAATACATTTCTAGGTGATATTATTCGGCACATGACTCCAGACAGAGCTTTTGAACAGTACTACACTCAATTGCAGGCTGTAATATCGAAAATTTTAATGCATACTTCTGATTTTGAGTCTCTTTTTACCATGGTAAGTTTCTTCTACAGTTCAACTCTTTGCAGTGTGAATTAAGAAAAATAGTTCATTGATTTTTTGTTTCCAGGACAAGTTTTTACCATTGTTAGATATGTTTCAAAAAGAAAGCATTAAAGTTTCTGTATGCAAAAGTGTTATGGATTCATTCACTGCAAACTACCAAGAGTCAACAAATGATCCAGTAATCATCAATGCTCTTATGTTCATTTGCAGAATTCTTCACGATTCTGTGAAGTAAGTATGAAGCAATTTAAAACTTGAAAATGGTAGCTTCTTTCCTTCAGAACTATAATTTTTACTTTCTCACATACGACTTATGCAGAGAAGAGAAAGTATTGTAATGCAGCAGCAAAAAGCAAGTTCTTTTTTTACAGAAAAACTTGTTTTATCGATCCCTCATATAGAAAAACGGATTTCTTTGCTTCTTTAGGTTATAAATTACTTTCATGAACATGAATGTAATTCAACTGCATAGTGTAGTCAAATTTCGATTTGACTGTGGGTTCTTACTTGGGTTGTTAATATCAAAAAGTTGATTTATGTGCATTCTGTCTGCCCATCCATCTGTTTGTCTATCTGTCTGTCTATCTATCTGCTGTGTTCTTCTTTGCTGTCTCTCTTGTGTCTGTTAACAACACTAATGCCTAAACTCTTAACAGGATTTTCATCAAATTGGTTTCCTCTTATTGATCTGGATGATATTGCAGCCCCTTGAATGTAAAAGGATATTTTAATTTTTGGAGGTTCTTTTCATGAAGTCCCAAGAAACGTATTCAAAATTTTCTCTAAAAGACTCCAAATTTTTCATTTCAATTTTTTTGCTAGAAGAGAGCAATGTGCACAATGCAAGTCCAATTTTAACCGGAATTCCGAATTTTCAAAAATTGCAACAAAAAAAAGAAATCATGTTCTTCCACCTACAACATTTTTTATTATTATTATTTTTTAAATAGAATCTAATCTCAAAATTAGATCTTCAAAAAAATGTCAGGTACAAGTTTTTCAAAATGTGAGTAATTTTTGCATAATTTTTGTGTAAAAAAAGAGTACTTTTAAAAATGTTCATAACAAGATTTTTTCAGAAAGTGTTCCAAATTTTTCCTACAATTATATGGTTTTTGTGAAATTTAGAGTCGAAATGTGGACAATTGAGTATTTATGAAATAATTTTCTGCATTCCTAAGATTATATGATTGTTTGAGAAACTCGAGCAAGATAGAAACTGAATTTACAATATACAGTAACACTGAGAGAAACCAAAAGATCCTCACAATTCATTTGGTTTGGTGGCTCACTTGTTTGTGTGTGTGGGGGTGGGGTAAATGGGGTGGTGAGCGTGTGACGTGAGTGTGTGTGTGCGTGCGTGCGTGCATGAGCTCTCTGTCACTCACGTTCTCTCTCATTCTCTCTCTCACCCTCATGCTCTCTCTCTCATTTTCCCTCACTCTCATTCTCTTACTCCTCTCACTCTATCACACCCACCCTCTGCCACTCCCATTCTCATTCACTCCCAACTCTCTCACACACCCACTCTCTCATTCTTTCTCCCTCTCCCCCTCCCCTCACTCCTCTCTCCTCTCTCTCTCCTCTCGTCTCTGAATTCAATGGCCAAAAGTTATTTTCATTTAAACTTTTGAAATTTCCAAGAAATAAAGATTTTTTTAATACCTGGAACTTCATTTGCTTAAAGTGCTTAGTAAAATATTATAATATATAACTTATCAATGATACGTGAAAGTACATGCAGATATATCACCACTAGTCTCTTTCATTGTATGCTTTCAGTGCACTAACTGTGGAAGATGAGAAGCGTCAAATTGGAAATTTAATATCTGCTTTTGTTAGAAATGTTGAATATGGTCGTGATTTTGAGCAGCAACTTAGTTTCTATGTTGAAGCAAGGTCTGCATTCACGAACCTTGATGCTGTCCATGCACATCTTGTACACGTGAGTAAACCATTTTGACTATTATATGACCTTATTTGAAAGTAGTTTTCTTTTTTTTCGTTTTCTTACCTCAGTGGTTAAGTAGTTCCCTTGTTGAAATATTTAAAAAAAAACTGTCAAATTTGATTTTATTTTCATCAAAAACAGTATGTGAAGTACGGGGGAAAAGTATAAATAATTTCTGACTTCGCATAGAAGTATGAAAATTAAAAATTGGATGATTCAATGACAATCAACAAAGAGTATAATCATAATAAGAGCATTTAAGTACCCAGGAAAACAAACACATACTTGCGAGGTTCTGTATACAACCCTACAACAAATCATTCTCGGTAACCTCATATACCTGGAAGGCGTGATTTCATTACTCAAATAATATTTATATAATTTTATTATAATACATTATATTATTACAGTCAGACTCAGTGCACTGGATTCCAATAAGGAAATTAATATTTTCTAATGACTGGCCGTAATGTGGAAGAGAACCTGTCAAAGCATCTGAATTCTCTATATCTCTCTGAATATGTTCCATCTTTTGCCCTTAAGAGTCCAATTTGTCTTATCCTTTGTGTGGGAAGTAATAATGTGACAGCAGCGAACTCTTAACCGATTTTTTCGAAAATTGATATTCTGTGATCGATTGAAATGAACTCGAAGCTTTCTGAGTTTGAAGAAGGAAAAGGCGCTCCATGCCCGTTTGTTAGGGCACTGCTCCGGCATTCGCCTCGTGTTGATCGGAAAAACGATCTGTCAGAGCGGCCTGACGCTAGAACTCTCCCCTAGACAGCGACTAAATTCGGCCTAGCTATCTAACTAGTGTCGAAAATCCCTCCACTGCCGTGACTCGAAACTAGAACCTCCCTGTGCAGCATGGGTTGCCCTGTGCAGTTGATGCCCTGAAGCACCTCTTTCGGTGCGACGGTCGGAGAAGATGCCTTAGCATTTGGTGGGGTTTATTGTTTTGGGTGACCCAGATGTGGAAGGAGTCGAAGGCGGTTTGAAGTTGGGTTAAGAAACGATTTAGGGACCGGGAGGATGAAAGGAAGCCAATAAGATCGGTATAAAGGAAATCTTTGACACCGTGGGTGGGAGGGATATCATTAATATATACCGAGAAAAGTATTAGGGATAGCGTGGCGCCCCTCAGGGCGCCGGCTTCGATTAGGTATTAGGAAATTATTTTAGTGACGTGTTTTACAAGGAAGTTGCAGTCTGATAGGTCATTTTGGAGGATGGGAAAGAGTTGTGTTGGGATAGGGTGTTTGAGTTTCATGAGGGGGATGTCTTGGAGAACTGTGTCAGAAGCTTGGGTGATATCGGTGAAGATACAGGGGATTTGTTTTACCTCCGAGAGAAGTAGCTATGAAGAGAGCCAAGTGTAGGGTTTGGAGGGCATCAGAGTGGCCCCGAATTGTGCTGGGCGGATAATGGGATTAAGGATTGAATAGAATCGGAGAGGGATAATTTTCTCGAAGAGTTTACTTAGGATATGGAGCAGACTGATGGGACGGTAGTTGGAAAGAAGCTGATATTTTACCGGGTTCGCGGGTGGTTATGCAGGCAGTGGGGACGTGATACAGTGAGAAACATGAATCTAGGGTCATCGTGAGGAGGTCAGTGGCGTTTCTAATGGGGTGGGGATTATCTCCATCAGGACCAGGAGATTTTCGAAAGTCTATGGAATTCATGACGTGAAGAATTTTTATTGGTGGTGGTGTAAGATCGATGGTTCAGGGGTGGGTTTCGGTATCTCGGATAATTGAGGATTACAGGATCAGGCATGTTAGGTGGAAGGAAGTTCACGAGCAGGGTGTGCGCAAACGTTCGTAATGGATTGGGGATTAAATAATAGGTAATAGTCGTGTTTTTTGGTGGGGATATTTAATAGGATTTGCTTTGACGGCGCGAATAACTTCGTGGAGGATTTTTGGACTGCTTTAATCCGTCAATAGTTTGTCGTACTTAGTAAGATGTACGAGGGTTGCCTTTTATATTTCAGAATTAGAGAACAATAACATCGAAAATCTTTATTGTTTTTCAAAATATTCCCCATGAAGATCTATACACTTTTGCATGCGTTTGAACCAATTGTCGAAGCACTTTTGCCACTCTGATTGAAGTATCTCCTAAACATGCATTCTGAATGCAGCAACCGCTTCTTAAGATGTCGAAAAACGTTGACCTCAGTTTGTTTTTTACGTACGGGAATAAAAAGAAGTCATTCGGTGCCAAGTCAGGACTATACGGCGGATGACTCAGCAAATCGATGTTTTGGGTGCTCAAAAATGCAGTTGTTTGAGCCGATGTGTGAGAGCTCGCACTGTCGTGGTGAAGTGATCCGTCTGCGGCGGTTGGTTTTCCTGATTTCTTGGAAGACAGCTGGCAAACAAATCGTTGTGTAGAATTGACTGTTCTTCGTTGTTCTAGTGGTACGGTTGCGAAATGTCCAGTTTTTTCGAAAAAACTGGCGACCACGTGTTTGGAAGTGCTTCGTGCGCGAACAACTTTTGTTGGATTTTGCTCATCTTGAAACACCCATACAGTCGACTGCTGTTTACTTTCGAACTCATACGCGAAAATCCACGATTCATCACCTGTCACGATGTCATAAACGAGTTTCGAAGCCCCGCAATCGTAATTTTTGAGATTTCTTTCGATCAATCGACACGAGCCTTTTTTTTTTTGAGCGATTGACAAATTTTGTGGGATCCAACGCGAACAATTTTTTGGACAGTCAAATGTGCATGCAATATTGAATGTATCCCACTAATGCCTAAGGTTGTCTCAATCTCACGATAGGTTACATGACCATCTTGCAAAATCAGTTCACGCACAGCATCAATGGTTTTCGGAACACCTTCGCGAAATTCGTCTTGGAGTGAACTACGACCACGATTGAATTCACCATACCATTGATAAACACTGGTCCTTGATGGAGCTCCATCGCCAAAAATTGAATTAAGTTCATCCATGTACTGTTGCTGAGTGAATCCACGTCGAAAGTTGTAAAAAATAATCGCACGAAAATGTTCACGATTTAACTCTATTTTTGGGCCAAGATGAATCTTTTAAGTTACTGTAAACAACACAAATAGCGCTCGTATGTCAAAACGTTCTGAGTACGTATAACCTCAAAACATCCAACTTTACGATAGAGCTGTCAGTTGCCAGATCGCAACACCAGGGTTGCCAAATCCATGAAGGGCAACCTTCCTATATTGTTTAAGTCGGTGTTTGTCTTCGTCTATTTTTAAAATCGTCTTTGTGTCGGTCGTTTTAGCCTTATTGTTAACATGATGTCGTTGGAGAGAGTTGGATATTGTTCTGGGTAGTGGTCGATGTTCTAAAGGGGTTTCTTATTTGAAGGATGGGGTGGGAAATGGATTTGACTATTTCTGATATTGATGGAATTTTTGGTAGAATGTGGATGCTTTTGGAAAAGATGTGGGTGAAGGATATCCAATTGGTTTGGGATTGAGGTAGGCGTTGGGGTGTGAGGTAAGGGGTCGTGATGTACTTGTGAAAAGGATAGGAAGGGGTGAGAGTTATTGAGTAAGACAAGCATTGGGTAGAGGATTAAGAGGTTGGGGTTTGAGGACTGTATAACCGCCGAGGATGTCGTTAGGAGAATTTTGAATGGAGTGAGTGAGTGAGTGCGGGAAGACTTTTTAATTGGATGGATGGGTGAGCGTCTAGGAAATTTTCTAAGGTTCGTCTTGTCGCGTTTGTCGTCTTCCAGTCCCATTGGCCGTTTTTATTAATTAAATCGCTGCAAAAGATAAATGTGTAGGGGACCTTCAGAAGCGCGGTTAGGTCAGAAGTGAGAATGGAAGCATTGGGGCTTTTGTATGTTGAAATACTATTTTTGGAATTGATGGTGTACCTATTACGTTGGTAGAGCATTCTTGGACTGAGGTGGGAGGGAGTTGGTATGGGGTGTGTGTGATGTGGTTTCGGGTTAGGATGCCCGTTCCATCGTGGGTGGAGGTAAGGCCGTCGCTTCGATGAGCTATACACTTGAAAAGGGAAAAGGGTACGGTAGGTTTAAACCAGGGTTCCCCTAGGCAGATAAACCCGACGGAGAGATTCTTAAGGAATTGGTTTAGGAGGTTTTTGGAAGGTGTAACCAGCCGCTCTCATTCCAAGTAGATAGGGTAAGGAATCGAAGGAGCCATTTTAGTTAAATATTTCTACAATTTTTATTGCTACTTTATTGCTCTGAGACGAGGAGCGAAAAAGCTGAAAGCATGAGCGATGTTAAGTTCGTAAGGAGAACGTTTATTTTCGTCCAGACAGAGATAACGATGACAATCTCTTCAGTACTAATAAATTCTTTCAGCAAAGTAATTACCTTTGTCAATTTTGTGTCGCTTCTTTCCAATACTATCTCGTCTGATGAAATCTCAGAAGACGATGCACAAAACTTCTCGTTGCAGGTTTTGCTAATGCTCTCCCAATTCATCTAAGCAATAATTTGCAGCCTCAACAGTCTTCAATTTGCCACGTTTCGTATCTCTATAATCAGGCTAATTCACGCTGAATAGGCTTCCAATTTTCTCCTTTTCTCGAAATAATTACCTCAGCATAAATCTTTGGTAGTTTTTCGTTAAGCGTATTCGTTTCACATACAACTGCTGCTTGATATCTCTTAGTAGGAATTTTCACTCTCGTCTATCTTTTTGGTACAATTTCTTCAGCGTTACGTAACGGCAAACAATCATCAATCATATTATCTTCCCTTGGTTCTTCCTCTTACAGATTCGTCCGCTCCTTCAAACGAAGTCCGTTGTATAGCATCGAGAGGTTCTGCATTCGTTTGACCAGGGGCGGTTCTTTATAAGGTTCACGCAACACCCAAAAACACGATCACAATTGAAAATACACTTCGTTAATACAATCTCATTAATAGTACGACTTTTTTCTGCTCTTATTTTTTTTTAATTCCCATACCAGCATTACATTGACGAACCGATGTGGCTACGTTGCTGTTCACGTTT